AACAATCCTTTCTAAATCTATAGTACCTCGTTCGAAGATCAAGGAACTCTTTCATTGTATATGACGCTGCTGTAGTTTGGGGTATCAACTGAAGGAGCTTTGTTATTTCTGCTCATGCGCAGCTCATTTCGGTCTTGTGAAGACAGAGAGGCCGAATAGTTTCTCTTTACTAGATGAAGATGGGACGGGGCTTAGGTGAGAATACAGGAGCCATTTCATGTCTTGTTGAACGATGTAGCAGCTAGCTCTCTTGGTTTTATTGCTGCTACTGTGGCACAAAAGAGTCTGGTTATTCGATTGCATGAACCAAGTGGCCTTTCGCCTTCTTGCTACACGACCCTTTCCGATATATTCCGTCCTAACTCCCACGAAGCCTAAAACGGTGTACCGGCATACTTCCCTCTTTCTTATTAGGCAAAGAAAGTTTGATCTTTCCTTGGTCTTTGCTTTTGTTCTTGCAGCTAGCACACGAGAATCTGATTTGTTCTGGTTGTAACAGGAGCTGTTGCATTCCACATGATATAAAGAAGGGAGTAGCTGTTCCATTGATGTTACAAAGTGTGCGAAGCTCGACACACTTTACTCCTGATCGAATGTATTTGGAGTATGGTGGAGGGAACCATCAATATTTCAAATTGTGATGTTGGCAGATTGTAAGAGCTCGTCCGGTTGTTGGCAGATTGTAAGAGCTCGTTCGGTTCTCGCCACTGGTAAGGGATTCAGGAGCCTTCTCGTGCTTCTTTGTGATGAAAAGAGGATTTCTGATGAATGAAAACAACACCAACTACGCAGAAACAATCGAGGTTTCCAGTGTCATTGTTGGTTGAGGAAGGCTCAAGTGTCTCTTCCGATTAGCACGGACGCAGAACCAGATTCTGGTTTGGGTTTTGGGTGGTTGACACATACCACAAACAAGGACAACAAGCGGAGGTCAGTATGTGTGAAGTGCAGGAGGGGCTTTACCACTGCATACAAACACACAAACAAACAAACAAACAAACATACATACATACATACATATGTGTGTGTGCGTGTATGTATATGCGATATAGACATGTTGGACTATTCCAACCTTAGCATTCGTGAAAACATGAGAATGGTTCTCCAGTCAAGATGCCTGACATTGAAAGCAATGGACATGTTTATGCTGCCGGTAGATTCTTCAGGGCTCTACGGCAGAAGCAGCTCGACGAGGATTGATTCTGCGTTCAGCTCGGAATTCTGGAGGAAATTTGAGACATGGTGAACGCAAGCAACAATAACTGGTACACACGCAACCCTGACGCATGCTGTGGTCCTCTTGGCCTCAAGCTTCAATAGAGCACCGAATACAGACAACAAGATTCAAGTCCCAAAGCTCCTGTTGGAAGCATGCTTAACCCGGATTCATCGAAGTGGCCAAGGCAGTTCAGGTTTTTGCCAGCATGCTCGCGTAAGCACCGCGCGACACCCTGACTGACTTCCGCCTCTCCCATTTGCAGCCTTAGCTCTTTCAAAAAAAGGCACCGCCCTCCCCCCCCTTCCCGGACACACTGGATTGCATGCATGCCAAAACAGGCCTCTTGTACTTCTCGTGAAGCACGCAAGCTGCTGAGCCTGAGCCAATCCCGCGCAAGGATGTTGCAGAGCTTGGCATCCCGAGGCCGTTGCTGCAGCTGGCGGAGGGCACCCACAGGAAGCTTGAGCCTTCTGCTTCCCAGAAGAAAAGAGTCTGCTGTGGGCTTCAGCTGAAGCTCGGGCCGGTGTCGAAGAGAAGCTGGAAGCTCTGCCGGCTTGGTCCCACCATCACCTGCACGACTCACCGTAAGTTTCCACACTGAAGGCGACGGTTACGGCCCGTGCCTCACCGTAGTAGACGGGAGATTCTGTCAGGCCAGGCTCCTGGCGAGCCCCCCGCCTACATTAATTATGTCTCCTCTGTCAGTGCCGCGTCCTCAGGGTCAGCAGCCGTCACCGTGCAGCCCTTGAGAGGCAAAGAAACCTGGCAATGCCGGGGCCATGGCGGCTCTGTCCTCTCACACGGACTCAAGCGTCTGGCATGGTTCTCGGCCGACCCCACCAGAGCCGCATGAAGAGCGGTGCTGACCTTCACAAGCTACTGGGAGTACGGGGAGTGCGAGGGAAAGTCTTGGCGTTGCTTTGCAGATCTTTGCAGCATCTTGCAGTCTTCTCATGCAGCAGAGTCACGAGGAATCCGAGCATCTCTGCTTCGGGGGGGAACCGAGAACCCCGGCTGCGGGCGGGAGATTGAAAGCACTCAACATCCTTGTAAGAGGGCTAGGGAAGCAAAGTATCCAAATAAGCAGCGGGTGCACTGGAATCACACAGAGCAGGCGCAAAGCTGCAGAAGGCCCAGCAACAGTTCTGCCGCAATGCCGCCGTTTCTTCCGCGAGCTTCTTCGTGGCAACTTTGGCCTACTCACCTGGTGAAACACCTAAGAGCCTACGAGTAAGTCGTGAAACATCAACTCCTCGTTCGTCCCCTAGCCGGTTTTGGCACACCGCCAAAAACCTGCTGGCGCCGGATATGATTCCAGCTGCAAGGGTACGCGAACTGAGATACAAGCATTACAAGCATCGCCCCAGCCTTTGCCTCGTCGAGTTTCGCCTCGTTCTCCACGGCAGCTCCTTCTCACAAAGGAGCTGGAAGCAAGGGCTTTTGCTGCCTGAAGACACATATCTCTCCAAGCCCGCCTTGCGAGAAGTCAAGGCCGTGACTGTTCAGGTCGCAGGTCTCGCCCACAGGTTGTCCCCTCCCTGTGCCAATGGAACCAATGAAGCCTGGAGGCACAGCTGAGTTCAACTGGTTCAGGCAGCCAGAGAAAGGCCTGCAAGCTTTTTGCCACAGGCTTGTCCTGCAATGAAAATTGCGGCTCACCCGCGACCCACGAAAAACATGCAGCAGTGCGTCTCTGGCCTTGCGGGACTCTGATTGTGGCTTCAAGCGGGACTCTGGCGGGGGCCTCAAGTATTCAACCGGATTGCAAGCAGTCATAAGCAGTTTACTGTCTGCCCAAATCATGAACACTGAGACGGCAAGTGCAGTGACTTTGCACAGAAGGCAGCAGTGCAGCAATGATGACACGTGATGCTGTCTGAAGGCTGAGGGACCAAAGAATATCAAAAACAAACCAAACACCTGGGATCAAAAACAAATCAAATTGGGATCAAGAAACACAATAGTACATCTCCTGGGTCCTGGAGCGTAGAATGAAGATTCTCAAGATTACCAACTTTCGGATCAAAACGAAATCAGACAGGGATCAGAGAAAAACTCAAACCAAGGATAAGGCATTCTGCTGTCCAACCAGCGTCGCAGCACTGTGGGGTTGGCGCTTGGGGGATCTTGTTTTCCTGATGATGCGGAAGGGGTTTGGGGGAGAGAGACACGGTTCCGGTGGAGCACTGGCTGTAGCAGAATGCGTTTTCGATAGTGACAGTAACAATAACGGCAACAGGTAACAGTACCAGTGATGGCAAAAAATGACACAATCGTAAGTCAGACAACAGTAGTAGTAATCATGATGATAGCAATCATGCAGGTAGGCATCGTCATTGTCGTCATCATCATCACCATCATCATAGCAAAAGTCATGGCAACAGTAATCCTACTATCGTAGCAATAATGAACATTTATCCTTGTTGCTGTACTAGACAAACCCGTGATAAATGTAAAAGTCCAGGTGATAGTAACAGCAACAGTAAAAGTAATAGCAATAGAGCCACTCTGGCCAAGAATTGAGATAGTTCTTCAGATTACTAGGAGCCGTTCTGCTGATGATTGCTGCTTGATTTTCTTGATCTCCGTTTGACTTTTGATGCCTAGCCCCTGTCTGAAAGTCAATGGCGGACAGAGAATTAATGCACGACTACCCTGCCATGAAGCAGCAACAACACGCTGCTTGTGGAAAGCGATTGGTGGCGGTGGTGATGGTGGTGGTGGTCGTCGTCGTAGTAGTAGTAGTGCTAGCAGTAGCGCTAGTACTAGTACTAGTACTAGTACTAGTACTAGTACTAGTACTAGTACTAGTACTAGTGGTGGTGGTAGTAGTAGTAGTAGTAGCAGTAGCAGTAGCAGCAGTACTAGTAGCAGCAGCAGCAGCAACTGGAGAAGTGAGTAGAGTGGTGGCAGTACCAATAGCAGAGAAGTAGTGGTGCTGGTAGGAGTTGAAGTAAAGAGCAACAGGAGCAGGCGCAGCAGCAGCAGCAGTAGTAGTGGATGTGGATGCAGACGTAGATGTTGTAGCTGGGTGCCACGCGTCTCTGACTCCTCCGAACCCGAATCTTGCTCTGCTTCCACAACTTCACCAGCATACCCGGCATAGCTGTTGTGCGCAGTGTGACGTCTCGGGCTTCGTGGGGCGGCTTGAGAGTCTCGTCTCTGCTTTTCCTGGGTCGATGCCAGGCGGCAAATCTTCACCTCACAACAAAACTCTGAGGCGCCAGCTGCCCTAGGGTGGCCTGTCAATTCAGGAGGCGCAGAAGGCACAACTCCAAACGCACACGCTTCGAAAAACCTGCCTCGAGTAGACTGAGTAGACCTCGCGTGGAAGCCATCAGGAAACGGTGCTGCTCGTCGGCGACAAATCGCGATTTCCCCTAAACCTTAATCCCCAAACACTCGAAGAGTTCAACGTAAGCTCGGGCGTGAGCTTGGATTGACGGACACCAGGGCCCGGCTGCACCTCCTCCGGAGTGAAAGGCGAAGCTTCCAAACAGGTTGGGATCAACAATAAAATCTGCTCTAGTGTGTTAAGCTACAGCACACACTATACCATACTATACTTTACTGTAGAAATACTGTGCTATACTCTACTGTAAATCTAATACAATACCAGACGGTATACTATATAACACGGTATAATGCATCATTGTCGTATCATATGATATCATATAGTAGCAGCAAAGGTCTTGTAGTACAATATAACATCGTATCATATCAACTCATGTAGTCTCATATGAAATTATGTAATACCATGTAACACCATGTAAGTCATATAATATCACATAAACCATATAACAACACATGGCAATATGGCAATACATATTACCATATAATATCACATACATAGCCATAGAAAAATCGTATAGAATTCTATAAAATGCAATACTATAATATACTATATTAGGTGAGCTATGACTAGATAAGATAAGACAGGATAAGACCAGACAAGATATAATACATGATATACCATACGACCATGTAATATAGACACTGGTGGTTCGAGTTCCTTCAGGCTTTCAGGGCTATCGGTCCGGGAGGCTCGAGTCGGGATGATCCGGTAACAAACCCCGTAAGCGCAGGCTTGCACGCCCCTTCTTCAACCAACTCGCGTTTTACCTACTTGAGGAAGTACCAGTCTGACTACAAAGGGGTCTGGAAAAGGAGGGTTGCCGATCCACAGACAGAGACACGGGGATGCCGAGGGATCCAATTCGAAGCAAAGCTTTTCCTGGGAATGAGCCCTGAACCCTTCAACCCCAAAAACCCCATATTCCTGAAACTGCCCCAAACAACCTTAAACCCTCAACCACCCTACAAGTAGGCCGCAGTAAACCCCAAACCCGAAAAATGGGCGCCCAAATCACTGGAGACAGACCCCCAGAAACTTCGTGAAGCCCTGGGCTTTTCCAGGACTCCAGCCTTGGCTTGGATGTCTGCGCCTGGAGGTTTGGACGCTGCGATGTCGGACAGACAGGGTTTTAGGGTTTAGGAGTTTAGGGGTTTGAGGTTGTTGGATTTGTGTACACAATCAACTTTGAACCCCATGAAACTTCACCTCAGACGATCCAAGGGCCACCCTTGTTGCAAGGGCTCCTTGCTCATTGCTGCATGGAAGCTGCTGCCACCCAATTTCTCACGTGTTGAAAACTTCCGTGGGGTTCCGGAGCTGCTTCTGGGCTTGCTGTAGTACATCAGGACGCGACTCTGCCAAACTTGCAGCTTCCCCCTAGTCCAAAACTATAATCTCAGCTTAGGTTTTCCGCGGAAGCTTGCTGTGTCGTGCGGCATCTTGAACCGCTCTTCTCTATCTACCCAGGTTGACAGAAGGGACTTCAAAATCGCAGGAGCCGGTTGGACAGGGCCTTTACTCCTAAGGCCGTGACTCCCAGAAATCAGAACGGGCCGGTCTACAAGTACAGGGACACTGAACCTCGCAACGGCGGGGCCGCGCACCTTCTCGCGACAGCTGCTCCTTGGCATGAACTGCATGAACACTCTCTACTCTGATCCTGGGTTGATGTCTCGCCCTCGTCTCCATAGCTCTCTTTTATGTGCGTATATTATGTATTTCATGCTATCTGTAAACTTATGCATTACGAATTATTACTTTATACGTTATATGTATTATATGTTATATGCTGTATATCTGTTAGTATATAGAGATACACACATATACACGTGAGTGTGTGTGTGTGTCTGTCTATCTATCTATCTGTCTATTATGTATGTACCTTTGTATGTATGTACGCACGTGGGTATGTATGTATGGATGTATATATATGTGTGACTGTGTATGTATGTGCAGGTGTGTACCTGCATGCATACATACATAGGTACTTTGTATATGCACATCATATATAAAATGACATATTATGCACATCCATGCTGAGCTTCCGGCGCTCTGCATGCTCTGCTCCCTGGACATCACGTGGTCCATACCGTGGAGCTCTGCCTGAGCCTGAGAATCGAAAGTACAGGACCCAAATCCCTAACAAGAGAAATCGGCTTCTGTTTCTATCAAAACCTCAAACCTAATTCTAGAACAGGCGTTCCGGAAACGCCAGTCACACTTCTGATAGTCGAGCCTCGACGATTCGACGCCGCAAGTCCTGGATCTCTGCCTTCAGCTCCTGATCATGGTCTCTGTGCAATTGCTGGCAACCGCCTCCATGATTTGGATTTCGCCATGCTACGGTACGAATTTTCCGAATGCCTGATGGTGTCCAGACTGGACACTTCTCATGTGAAGTCTTGGCATTCTCGCATCAGGTGGTTTAGCTACCACATGAGACTAGACCGAATTCGACTTCGTACCACCATGATTTCCTCAAAGTCACAACATCCTGACGAGTGATCCACTGCGTCTTGTGCAAACGTGCTTGAAACCCTTCGAAGACCATGTTGCCAAGCTGCAAAGATCTCTGCGAAGCATTGGTCGTGCTCGTCGAGCAGCACAGAATACTCCTCTCGAGCCGAACTTGCACTCTGCAGGCCTTGCCGGTGCGAAGATGCAGAAGAGTTCAGGGGCTGTCTGGATGTGAACAAAGCCAGGCCTAAGGTGTGAGCAAGGAGAGTTTCTCTCCCGGCAGAAGGAATGCTTTCTGCTTCGGCTTCCTCATAGCTCCTGGCAGCCGCCAAAACACTTCTGCGAGTCCGAGCTGATGATGGTGTTGACTCTCACGAACAGTCTCGCAGCACCAGCCATGCCTGTTTTCATCTTGATCCGCCGCATCTTCACAGACAACTTCTGGGACCTCGAAGTACTCTGCGGCCTGAAGACGGATCGGGTACATCCCTGCCAAACAGCAGCTCATGCGGCCAAGTGGCATGACTGCCATCGTCATCCTGGAAGTGAGGCTTCGATCCCATGTAGTCAGCTGCGCAAGAGTTGCTATGGGACCCAACTAGGTGGCTGCCAGGACCCGTTCGGTTTTCGGTGCTGATGGGTGGCTGGCTTCAAGAATCTCGAACTGCAGCCACGCTGGCCCACTTTCTGCAGCGCAGCCGGGAATATACTTATCGCGGGAGCACGGTGCGGCAAAGGCTTCTTCAATGTCATTCACCCTAAACCCCAAACCCGAAACCCCTAAGCCCCAAACCCCCAAAACCCCTAAACCCCGAAACCCCTAAACCCCTAAACCTTGGAGGGCCGAGAAAAGGCCAAGGCCGCTGCCCAAGCGCCCGTTAGAGTCAGAAAAACAGGCTGGGATGGAGCCAGACAAGACGGAAACATCTTTAGGGCCCGGTTGACACATCAGAATTTTGAGGTGAGGTGGTGGAGTTGCGGAAGGAAGCTACGAATCACAAAGACACTGCCAAAGTCGACTCCCAGCCCATCACAGTCCTCCGGCTGTTTGGTGGTCACTGTCAACTCCTGGGCAAGTTAAGCAGCACAAGGCCGCGCCCTTTTACAAAAGCCCAGCTGGGGCCAGAGCTTCCAGGAATGCCTTAGGTAGCACGACACGACCATCTGACCACATTGCGCTTTACCAGCATGCCTCTTTCACGCTGATGACATAACAGTCTGACGACGAGGGGCTTCGATCGGCTGGTCCGCTTGCCACTCTTGCATGGGTTTGACGACATCGTCGTCGTGGTGCTTTTTAACGGTCTCACCTGCAGCTTTGAGTCGGACCGGAGCGCAAACGATTACAATTTGAAGTGTCGCAAGTCTCGACATGCCCATACCACCATCGGACTTCTGATTCTCTGCAACTCGGCTTCCAGCTTGGCCCTTGCTGACTTTGCATGTTGTAAAGCCTTTGCTAACAACAGCCATGAGTCCACTTGTGTGCTGCTCACCGAGACTTCGGCACGGGGCTGCCCTCCTCGATACTCCGCATCACGAGCATGCCCGCCTAGGTGTCACAGCAATAGCTTCGGGTGTTTCAGGCCTGCTACATCTCAGCTCCCGTCCATGTACAGTTCCTGGACGGCTGGGGGAGGCTGGACAGACTGGGCACTGACTGGGGTGCCTAACATATACGCAGCAACTGTTTCTCGCCTCCGTGGTTGCCGAGAGCTTGGGCTTCTTCAGGACTTCTTGCCGCGCTTCTAAGAAAGAAATGCCTGACAACTTTTCAGCAAAGTCCACTGTTAAAGTCTTGAAGTGGCCGCAGCATGTTAAACGCCTGGTTCAGAAGTTTGAATATGCTAGACTTGCTGCTAAACCCTACAGTCTAAAAGGCCGTCCACCTCGAGCGATCCCCGCGTCGGTTTCGGCATCATCGGCAGTTTCGGCCCCCGCCTCGAAATCTGAAGAAAGCTTGAGTATTTGAAGCTGAAGGTGTATTAGAGGTTTAGGGTGATTTAGGATATTTTGGGGTTCCCTTTAGGGGATACCTTTAGTGAAGGACGATGCTTCCTATACCTTTACTATAGGTGCATTTGGGGGTTTAGGGCATAGGGGCTGCAGCAGGGAACGGCTTGGGCTGCAAGTGTCAGACTGACGCAAGAGGGCAGGTGTTCCAAATGTGTGCCACAGGTGCAGTTAAATTAGCATCCATGAAACCTTCAGGGTTTAGGGTTGCTTAGAGTTTAAGGGTTTCGGAAAACCGTAAAACTCCGAAACGTTAACCCCCACCTTGAGCCCTTTAACCCCTGCAGCCTTAAACCCAAAGCCCCTTCCTACGCACGACTGCAAGGTCCAGGAAGCGGGCCTCCGACGCACTCGCGAAGAACTTCCTCCATGCCCCCACGAAAGCACTGGAAGGATATATTATATACTATCTTTATATTAGACTATGAATTATCTAGTATATCTTATGTTGTAGTGTATTATATAGTTATATTGTTTTATATCATTAAATATCATTAATATATCTATATATACATATATATATATTACAGCATAGATAGGTGAAGGCTGGAAGTGGGAAGACCCCGTCCTCAGGATCTGAAACCTCGGAGCTTCAGCTGCTAAATGCCTACTCAAATGCTCGGCGTCCGTCAGCTGTGCATGCATACAGGGCCCCCAGGGGCTCGGGCAAAGAGGACGCCCTCCTCCGGTTCACGAAGGTTTCGGATCAGATTGCGCAAGGCATCGCTTCTTCAAGGCTTTCCGGTTACAAGAAGCTCCTCATCTCGTTGTATCTGACTGCCCGGGACTGCTCCACCTGTCAGCGGACATCTCACCAGGCACTCCGCACAGCAGTAATACAAGCCTCGAGCATCATCTCCCTTACGGCTGCCGAGAGGAAACCGATGTACAGAAGTCCTTGTGCAAGCCGAAGGCAGCCAGAAGCAAGCAGAAGCAAGCAGCGTGCTCCTTTGGAGCCGTCTTCCTCGTCCATGACCACTTGCTCAAAATCATTCTCGACGCCGACCTTCCGAGTTCCACATCGCCACTCGGCAGTAACTCCCCCCTGCCCGGTCTCAGGCCAAAGGGCCTCGTTCCAAGGCACCAGGCCCTGGGCAGCAGCCTCAAAGTAGCGCTCCATCGCACCACTCAACGCAGCCTGAGACAAAACGGGCATGTGCAGGCTGCGCGAAGATGCCCAAGGCCCTAAACCAAACAATCCGCTTGCAAACCAGCAGCTCTCAAAGAGCTTCGGGAGCTTCTGGAAAGGCCTGATATGTCAAGCTCTTGCGTGTGGACGTCCTCAGTGCAGAGGAGCTCGGGCTCCGAAGTCGCGACTTTCACGAATCGAATGCTCCCCTTGTGCTAAGCTCAGGGCGTAGACAACCTGCACAGGTGTCAGTGGTCTTGAAATGCAAATGCTATTCAGGGTCTTTAGATGCTAACATTGTGAAGGCTAGTTCGTCATCTCGGTGGTAGGATCGGCGGTTCCTAAGTTTCTGAAGACTACTCCGGATCATGCTATTCATTTCACAATCCAGTGAACTCCACGATCTCCCGTAATTCCCTCTTACGAGTACTTAAAGACAGCATGAGACATCCTTTATGTGACTAAATACTGTAATTCTTGAGTCACAAGCAATGGGGGTGGGAAAACCGTGTCCTTGAAGACACGTGGAGTACAAACCCACCCAGGAGTAGAAAGCCCCGGCCTAGGGTGCGGTAAGCGGAAAGACAGGCTCTGGGCACTCACGGCTCAAGAAGGGGAAGGGGCCCGCGGCCCTTCTCGCCGACCTCCGGAAGACGGCTGAGAACGGCCCGGCCGTTATCCCGCTGCAGCATCACGCCGAGTGATTGGAGGAGCTGCTAGCGGTAGCGGTCATGCCGAGGCGGGCGGCGTAAAGGCTGCCGAGTTCACACCAGGTTTTGACCGCAGTCGCGCCCCAGCCTCCCCCGGTAGCTTCGGCAACGAGAGAATCAAACTACGAGCGGAACATACTGCAAGCCGTGAACACGGCAAAGAGCTTCTGTGTCCTGGAAACTGCGCCTGCGGTTCTCTTAGCCTGCAGCGACCTTCCCTGCATGAAAGGCCCACGAAGCCACGGAGCCGCGCTTGAGGCCACTAGTAACGGCCAGGTCGAAGGTGGCCAGGCAGGAAGGTACACGCCAGCTGGTCGCCGGCCGGAGGGTTGGCAGGAGCCCGTCTCGCAGGTGCCAAGTTCGGCAGGGCGAGGCGGCAGCAGTCCTAGCTTCTCAACCTCGGGGCTCAAGCCAGCAAAGGCGGCTCGAGTGGCGACCGCAGTCTGGAGGCGGTTGTGCCTTTTCACCCTGTCCCCTCGGTCCCTGAAGCGGTCGGCGGTCCCGTCCACTGAACTTGGCTTAAATATGCTTAAATCATGTCATCATGCCAGCCTAGACCCCAAACAATAAAAGATCACCCCGCGGCTTACACACCCAAGAACCATCCAGGGGCACCCCAAAAGCCGAAACCATGGCAGAAGCGCCGTATAAGTTTGTTACATTGCTGCGGTGGAAATGCGAGACCACAGCGAGAAATCCCGAGGAGCCTTTTTCGGCCACTCGTCGAACTTTATTGCCGGGGGATGTGAAGGTCAAGAAAAGGCACTGGACTGCGGCGGAAGCACGGATACACACTACCCTGTGGGACGGAGGGCGATTCATGAAGGGCGGAGCGGATTGGAGGCGCATTGTATTGGTGTTGCAACGCCGCCGGGCACGCCTGCCGCGTGCTCCTCACAGTCACGGTAGACCAAGCTCGGTTCTCCTTCTTTCTCCTAGCCCTGCTCCTACTCCTACTCCTACTCCTACCTGCTCCTGCTCCTGCTCCTGCTCCTGCTCCTGCTCCTGCTCCTGCTCCTGCTCCTGCTCCTGCTCCTGCTCCTGCTCCTGCTCCTGCTCCTGCTGCCGCTGCTGCTGCCGCTGCTGCTACTGCTACTGCTACGTGGTATTATTATTGTATTCATTATAATCATTACTACTACTACTGCTGCTGCTGCTCCTACTACTACTACTACTACTACTACTACTACCAGCACCACCACCACCACCACCACCACAACCACCACCACCACCACGGCGGCTGCTGCTGCTTCTGCTGCCGCTGCTCCTCCTCCTCCTCCTCCTACTACTACTACTACTACTACTACTCCTACTCCTACTCCTACTGCTGCTACTACTACTACTACTACGACGACGAGTACAGCTTACTACGACGACGATTACTACGAACACTACTAACCAGACGACGACGACGACGACGACGACGACGACGACGACGACGACGGTGACTACGACTGCGCCTACGAAAAAAAAAAAAAACTACGACTGCGACTACGACTACGACTGCGATTCCGACTCCTCCATCTCCTCGTCCTCCTCCGCCTCCTCCTCCTCCTGCTCCTGCTACTGCTACTACGACGGCACACATGACTTAGCACAATGTTTTGCAAGGTTTTGCGCTGCATTCTCTTGATTTCAACGCCTGGCCCTTGGAGGCGGAGCAGCTGATTGCTAGAGCTCCGTACGTCGGCTTAGATAACTGATCGAGACATCTTACAATCATCCTGCAGCACGGAACCTAAAAACAGAAGCCTTGTCCGAGTGCATGTCGAAGAATGCATGCAACCTTTGCAAAGGCGGAACGAGATCTTCCACGTCTGGCGCGTACCTGAATGCGACATGCACAAGGCATCAAGCTCAGTGGGGCAGGTTTCTGAAGTAATGCCAAAGTTGCCGGATACTCTTGATCACCTTGGCAAGACAAGTCGAAATTGACAGGATTTCCTTGCCTTGTGTCGGTGAAGACAAGTAACTGCATTGTTGATCAGAGACCATAGCACCACAAAGAAGAAGTACAGGTTTGCAGGTATCTGCACCGCCTCATCTGCACGCATGTTGCTCAGACTCAGTACCGAATGCGCAATACTGCGAAGCTGAGATGTGGCTATGCGCGAATTATCGAACAGGAAATTCTCACAGCGCAAGCTGGCTCCGCGTGCCATGCCACTCTCCTTATGCCGACCAATCCTCGAGATTTGTAATTCTGCTATACCACTTGGCAAGCGGATGTCTGAAAGCATGTTTCTTGGATTTGAGAGGGTGTTGGCACAATGTGCGTAAGACTTCGACAAGCTTGCACAAAGCAGCAAGCAACAGCTGACCAAAAGGGCGGTCAATGCTGGATGTCATGACTTGTCGCCACCTAGATTCAACTCGGCATCGAAGTGTTTGACAAAATAATGTGTTCGACACTCCCTCGGTGAAAGGGTCTACACAGTTTCGCCTGAACGCTTCGAACCGTATATTCAGTGGTGCTGCAAATATGTTCCGATAAACCGTTGAAAAAATGCTTGTATACTAGATACTCTAAGTGTACATCCAGGCAACGTGCCATTGAACTGGCGCGTCCGACTCAAAACTGCAATCGAACTTCGATGAAGATCTTAGCGCACTCGTATGAACGTGTCAGTGTCTATATATATGCTAGCAGCCTAGTCTCATGAAAGTGTGGATGCAAGGCTACGGCTTGGGGAAGCGGACTGGGTGCTTATTCCACATGGCCTCTGAGCCTTCCTTCGACAGAAATTGAGTTCTTTTGGCGTGGACTTCATGGTCTGTACCAGAAGCTGCTTCAAGCCCTGCTTGCTGGTTGCACATCACCAGGCAACATCAGGCGACGAAAAGCAGAAGCCCAATGTGCTACGGGGATAGGGCGTTCGTTGGCATTCGTGTTTGTTCTCCACACGGTCCAACACGACGACGCCTCTGCCGCCTCAGAACATGGTACGAGCAACCCAGGCGTGCGCGACTTGGGCGCTGGCTTCGGTGAGCACAGAGAACTGGGCGAAGACGCCACTGCCACCCCTTAATTACAGCATTGGAGCGCAACAAGCACTAAGCTAATGACGTGTGACGTGTTAGCCAAAACTCCTAGTAAGGTGCAGTGGCCCCTTTTTGGTCGAAGCGCAGACTGCGCCCGGCCGGGAACACCGCCCGAAGGTGCCGGTGCCGGGGTGCGCACTTCTGCGCCCGCCCGGCGCACCCACGGTTCACCGGGCTCAGGCACCTCCAAAGGGCCACATCCAACAGCCGCTCAGGGGCGCGATGGCAAGCGAAGTCAATGTCCTTCACTGCTTCGCAAAGCACCTGCATCACCTCGTCGACAGGCGCATGTACCCGAGTCCAGCCTTCAGCCCGAGCCTTGGAGTCGTCGCGGCATGGCGATACGTTTGGCTTCTGACGGGACTCTGTAGAAGTCGGGCGACCAGTCAGTGAGCCAGCAAGGTGATCGTGGCGGCCTATTCCAGGAGCCCGTTCATGGACGAGTTTCGCGCCTTGCTCCTGGACCGGCCGGTTCACATTCGTCTACGAGAACGTCCCGACGACGGCTCCCCCCTCGAACGGGCCAAGAAAGGGCGATGGAACCGCGTTTCAGTGCCGGTTGTCAAGGAGCTGGTGTGCCCAAAAGGCTCAGCCGGGCTCGTGGAGCAGATACCGGAAGATTCCCAGCCATCTCGGCGAGCTGGGCGACCCTCCTCGCCCAAAGCAGGAACGACGCCCGTCGCGGTGGATGGCGGTGGCGTAGTCGGGCCGTAGATGCCGGTGCCCGGCAAGCGGCCTCCGGCACAGACGGCCGCCACTCCTGTGACCGCCCTCGGCGGGGCCGGCTCCTGCCAGGTGAGCTGGCGGGCCCTTGGCGATTGGTGTGGCGAACTGTTTAGTTAGTTTAGTTTGGCTCGCCAGGGCGTCATGAGTCCACCAGGGGGTGGGCCAGACACCCTCGCCAGGGCGTCATAGGTCAAGGGGGGGTGGGCCACACGAAAAAAAATAGGTGCGTGCTTCGCCGACACAGCGGCCCGGATCGGTTGAGCCTTTGGCCTTGGCCCTACCAGGCGAAGATGCCGAAGCCGCCGCGGTACCGGTGGTCGTAGATGCCTCCAAGGTGGAGTAGGCGGCGAGGTCGGCGCAGGGGGCGTTGGCGTGGTGAACGCCAGCCCGGCAAGGACGCTACGTCGACATCCTTCGCTGCGGCCTCCTGAGCAGCAACCAGCCGATCCCTGCTCGAGCGACAATAGCCGCTGTGAGGACCTCCAAAGACGCAGCGACGACCATAATGAAGATCTCGGATTCCGTCTGGACCCCTGCGTCACGAAAAGTGAACGGATCGACGAAGGCGGCGCCAGACGGCGGCACCTCAGAAGTGCCATGCTCGACGCCAGCCGAGTCGCCCGACGTGGGCGCCCCGGCGATCCCCTCAACGCCCGCCAAGGCATCCTCCGGCGAAGTGGCCGTAGGCGAAGACGACAAAGTAGTGCCGCCCGCCACATCCAATCCTGCCGCCGCAGCAAAATCGGCGAAGGCGGCGCTGTCGAAGGGCGTGCCGGAAGAGGCCATGTCTTCAAGGCGGGGCCGAAAGGACGGCGATCGAGCCGAGATCTCTCGGTCGACCGCATGTGCTTGTTCCTACTCACACATGTGTGCTACACGACATTCTGGGGGTGCTTTATTTGCTACATTCCATCCCATGGAAAGCACCTGCGACGTGGAAGCTTGCAAAGACGGGACGAGCGGCTTTCCTTAGACTTGGTTCACCTTCAGCCTTAAGCTGCACATCACGATGCCCATGCAGAGGCAACCCGGCTGCGAACGAGACACCAGGGTGCGCCGATCATCATGCTCGCAACGCCCAACAGCTGGCAGGCCATGCCTAGGATTAGGAGCTTTTGGTCTCTGGCCTGTGCCTCGTCCTTCTCTTTCTGCCTTTCTAAGCTTTCTGCCATGCGAATTCTCAGTTTCCTCGTTTTGACTCTGTCGGTTCTGGAGGCCTGCTGGTAGCCGCGGGAGATGCCTCTTGGCTTGCTGTACGTGGAGTATCAGCAACTGGCCCCGCCGATGTTGCAGCTTCACCGTGGCACAAAACTATCAGCTGAGGGCTTCTTCCATGTCCTGTGGAACCGAAGCTTCATGTGGTGTGATGTTGAACACATACCTATAGGAATAACACGTACCTATGGGAATAGCGGACTGGACTACCTAAGGCTCTGGACTGAGGCATCACACCCGGATAAGCTCCTGTGGCTAAGGCCTGTGATACCTCCGGAGCTGGGTGCCCGCCGCTCACACGGAAGTTGTATGATTCTGTTGCCGGCTGAGTTACCGGTCACTTCCAGCCTCAGCAACACCTGGGCCCACTGAAGCGTGAGGTTCGAGGCAAAGCAGAAGTAGAGCTTTGAGGCCAGGACTGAATGGTCCCGTTCATCGTAGGGTCTCGTCCAACTCAAGACCAAGCAGGCGATGCAGTACACGCCGAGAAGACCTAATCGCAACATCTTGCAGGCGTTTGCAGGGTTTCGAAGTGTCAGGGAGCCTTGGAGACGCAGGAAGCGGCCCAAAGTCAAGATTGTCGACAGAATGGCGGCTGAATCCTCAGAACAGGCTGTGAGCATCAAGAGTAAGACAAGCAATGATCGGGTGGCTTTCCTATCTGGGACAGATCGCGTCCGAGCGACAATCACCATCAGTGTGAGGAGGCCGGTATACAGATATGCTGGCCTGCCGACAGCCACAACGATTCATGCCAATGCGTTGTTGCTGGCACGGCAAGGACGCAGCTTTTGCACCATATCCGATGTTCCTCAAGCCAGAAAGTCCCTCGCGACTTCGAACGATGAGCCCACGCTGCTCGGAAAGATGGTGAATTCAAGCTTTGACGCTCTATCCTGAACTTTTTGATTAGCACCTGGTCTGAAGTACTGAGAAGCAGTTTGCACTCAGTGGTTGCACACTCGAGGGCCCAAGCCTTGCGCCATGTAAAAAGTATCCCATTGCCCTCTCCGACAGCCAGTTCTCGGCGTACCTTCAGCGAGGCCAGAAAGAGCTGCTCAACATGCTTGGGTAGATCAAGTTAAGACTAGGATTGCAAGCAAAGGTTTAACCTTGGGTGCGGCTTTTTGTCCGTTCTTCACAAGTGTGCTAGCACCGCTCTTCTCCCTGTCTTCGTCAAGCACGAGTTCATTTCGGATCTTCTCTGCTGGCAGCAGCGACTGCAAGCCATGCCGTGCAACCTTTCCGCGAGATCCTGTGCGGAAAAGCGACATGGCTCGCACGATAAGGAGCAAGCCCCACGGAATCCTTAGCGTTCGGGGTCTACACTGAAGTTCTGTCTGGAAAGAAGTTGAGGCTGCTGCGCCAAGCCATAGGCTGCCAATCCTCCCGAAAGAGAATGCACGGAAGGGCTTGCGAGGCTTCAACTCCCCGGGCCCTGGGCAGCCTACGACTGCGAGAATCAGCCACGGTTGATGCGAGGGATCGTCACATGGCAGGCCCAAGTCCGACAGCAGAACATTCACCTTGGGTTTCAGGGCCCAAGGAGTTCAGGCTTTCCCCTAGACCTGGCATTTCTCTAGGCTACCGGCAGGCTGCGGGTAGTCGACTACCGTAACAGCAGCGTCCTTTTCACGAACTGGCCAGCTCGCTTTGCTTGCTACAAACCAGGCCCGCGGCCTGCGGGTCCAGGCACAGAACAGCACCGAGCATGTTGAAGACAGACATGGGCAACAACCTCATGTCTCATGCAGTCCAGAGAAGGGCGAGGCCTCCGACAGGTGCAGCACCGCCCCGTTGGGATAAAATCATGGGGGAGAACAGCGCTAAAGCATGCGCAGTGCCGATGTGTCAGGTGCTAAGACTTGACTGATCCGAGGCAAGAAGCAAGTGACACCAGATCATGGATGCCTCGGAAAACTTTGCCAGAAGCCTGCCAACAAGAGTGTTAGAAGCCTGCACACCAACACAAACACACACGCATGCGCGCAAGCATCATGCACACGCACACACACACACACGCAGACATGTGTATATGTGTGTATGTATATATATATATATGTATGTAGTCCGACCTGTTCGTAGGAGGTGTCCGGGCGAGTGTGTGTGTGTGTGTGTGCGTACGTGTGTATGCATGTGTACAAGTAAACATGTATAGATGGATTTGTATTTAAAGGTATGCACACACACACATATATATATATATAGATACAGATATATAGACATGGAGATAGACTTCGAGAAGAAGATAGGTGTATGCATGCATGCACAGATAATAAATAGATAGATAAATACATACATACGTACGTACATACCTATGTACATGCATCCATGCATGTATGCATGCATACATACATACACACATACATACATGAATACCTATGTACATACATGCATGCATACATGCATACACACACACACGCACACACGCATACATAATTATTTGGTGTGCGAAGCATCCAAGGCACGGGCCAGAAGGCACAGCACACGAGCATGTGGTTGCACACTCTGCTCGACGATAGAGGGACACGCACATACGAATATTATTTATATATATATATATTTCCACACATTGACATACATGCTTACCTACCTACCTACCTACCTACCTACCTACATACATGGATAACTCCTGCCTTCTCAAAGATGGCCTGGCCCGGGAAGCTCGGTGGAACCTGGGGTTCTCAGAGGCACACGTCAGCTCAGCGAAGAAAAGCAATGAAAAGCACCAAGTCGGGGCACTCAATACTGTGCGTGTGGTGGACGGACCTGCCTCGAGCTCGCAGGAACAAACAACCTCCAAACCAGCTCGTAGCGTGTTACCCACAAGCCTTGCCTGTAGTTTGACTGACGCGCTGGCCATGCAATTCACCTGGGCATGTGACTACACTCTGCAACTGGAACATGAAGCCAACTGCAGCGACCAAGTCGCCAAGTTGTTCCTCCTCGGACATGTCCGGAGAGTCCTTCGCTAGGGATCATGAGCAACTTTGCTTCGAGGGTGGGGATGCACGAGCACAGCAACATGTAATCTGTAAACTCAGACATAGCCGTCCTCCCGACTGCAGCTCTGAAACAGTAATGGAGCTAGAATGAACCTCAGAAATAAGTGACAACGCAAAGTTCATCCAGCCCGTTTTTGCGCTGGTCTGCCAATTTTGTGCGTCTCGTGCTCGGGTGTGGACTCCCATGCAAACAACAATAGTAAAGAAATCAACAGCGTCAACGGGAGGATGCAAAAGCCGATCAGGACCTTCACCTGCATTACGTGACTGACAGGAAATGACCAAAGACAGTGGCTGCTTCCCGCCCTGCCTGGTATGGCTTCCACATAGGGATGAAGCAGCTGACGGGAATTTCTTCAATTGGATCCCTCAGTCCCAATTCCAGTTACTATTGTTTTTTTGTGACTTTCATTATCTTTACTACCGCTATCGATACTACTCTTACGATGACGATTACGTATGCTAAAACAGTTACTGTGGTAAGCGTAGAAAATACGATTATGGTACAGTGCATAAGTACAACTGGAGTAAAAACATTACTACCCCTAAACTTCAAACCCCTAAACCCTAAACCCTTAGTACCACTAGCGTTGTAAGAGTCTCTACCATTCCTTGCGAACCGAGGCTCAAGACCAATGCGGCAACCACTCGGAAATAGCCCTTGCCGCAAAAGACTTGACCGCCGCTTAGGGTTTAGGGTTCAGGGACTTAGGGTTCAGGAGTTTAGGGTTTCGTGCTCTGGGATCTGGAAAAGAAGCTCCCTGCCTGCGTGTTGGGTAAGAAGTCAGCCATATACTCGGGTGTCATGATCTCCAGTGAAGTCACAGTGCGGCTAGATCGGAAATGGCTACGATGTTACACAAAGGGTAATCGCAAACAACGATCTTGATCAGCCTTCGCAGTGATCGCTGTGAACTGAAAGTAGTTCACCAGTGATCTGCCAGCCAGTGCACACACGTGTATATGCCAATATAGCACACGCGAGAGAGAGAGAGAGAGAAAAAAAAAATGCAGGCACCACAATCACGACCGCAACCAGCGCACAGACACACACAGAGACGCACAGACAGACAGTGTCCTGCCTCAGGGTTGACGCAGACGTTGATGAAAGTGATTTGCCTTATCACACTCTGTTTGAGCGAATGTGACGGAGCGGTGGGGCCCGGCCAACCCAGCACAAAGGACGAAACGGCCAAGATACACGCATTCAAATGTGATGCCAGCAGCCACGCAAAGGCCACCAGATACACACCTTGCTCAGTGCTCAGTCACATGTCAGCTACCGAAGCACAGGGCAACTCCTAACATGGCATATTATACCTTGTCGAAGAGGCACAGATTCCGATGATGAGTCTGTGCCAGGTGTCTCTCCACTCATCTCCACCTGAGCTCTTCGAAAGTTAAGTTGGGCTCGGCTCTTCCGTTTGGGGCATGCGTTTTGGATTGACATCCCACCAGGGAATAGCCGATGACCTTCTTGACCTTCCGAAAAGGAACCACGGGACTGCCGGAGGTAGCATTGGACCTCCCAAGAGCGGCAGGTAATCCTGCACAAATGTCCCATTCGCCCGAAGTCTCAGCCTTTTCGCTTCAAAATCACCCAGCAGTGGGAGTCTAAGCTTGCACCCCTCAGTGGGTATTGCTGGTATATGTTGGCATCATGACCACTGGACACCTTCAAACCCTTCGCACCCTGCTCAGCGTGGTATTCTTGGGTGTCAAGCTGCTGGCTTCCGATGCCAGTCAGCTCCTGAGGGCTGAGGCGCAGAGCACGAAGTGCTGTAGCAGCAGCCGGATGAGCCAAGGTCATGCTCTCATCCGCTGTGCTCGCGTGTAGTGCTTTGCAAGAGTCATGTGGGTACCCATGTGCGGAGTGATGCGAGATGCTTGCCACAATGCACTGCGATGAAAGTCGGGCCCAGGCAGGGCCGGCAAGGATCTGGCTCGGTACTGTCAGGATCCAAAACCAAACCTGTTGTCCGCACTGGTTGAGTGCACTGGAACGATCATGCTCGCATGAGAGGGAGCGACGACTGCCTGGCTGGCACTGCAAGCAAAGGGCACCCGAACCTTGGACCACATGAGCGATAGAATGGGATAGAATCGAAACGTCAAGCCGAGAGTCTGTTGCCCGCGCAAAGGTTGCCTCCTACCCAGACACCGACATGGACCGATACTCGTTACAAGAAACAGTGCCCGCCCAGTCCCGGCCTAGACAGCGGCCCTTCACAGTGCAGGAGAAGAGAAGGCCGTGAAAGTAGTAGTAGTCCGGTGCCTTACTTGCAAACACTAAGGGAAGGGCACCTCCAAAAGAAACGGACAGCAGTTGTATGCAGGATCGAAACAACTTTTTTGTACGGTCCTGGTCCAGGCTCGCCGATCCAAGCGAAGAGAGGAAGTCTGTAGTGGGACATCCGCTTGGCGGACTACTTGAGAAACCCAAGCTGAAACAACATGAAACTGATTACAACAAGACCAAAAAGAAGCATGAGGCAAAAGGTGATGTAGCCAAAATGTTGGAACACACCACCTCTTGAGGTCTCGAATCCTCTGGCAGTTGAATGCATGTGCTGGATCCTTGGCTGTCCATGATGGGACAACATGTGCATTTGTGCAAGGAGGTGTCGCGCTTCGAGTGCTCTCCGACTCACAGTGCAGCGCAGAAACTCTGAGAGGAAGATGGAACCCACACGCGCACCGGGACTGCAGAGCCTGCCCGCAGACGCCTTGGAGGGACCATTAGCTTCCCTCAAGCGCGGCTGTGCGAAGCTAGTCTGACTGTGGCCGCGACGAAGTTGGAGATCAGCCCCATCACATTGCCTGGTCATGCAATGGTTGAATGGCACAGGGTCTCGCAGCTCCCGCTGCCCTACCTGCGAAGGGAGCCGATTGCTCCAGCAGGGATGTGCCATTCGAAGCACCACTCACCTTAGAAAGACAAGATGTACGCCAAAACACGAGGCGTGCAGCGGCGTCAGCACCGAGGAACTCCGTTCTGTGCATTTGGGCTGTCAATCTCCTCCACGAGGCCCCAAATCGCACCAGCCTGACCGTTGACAGCCGATGCCCTAAACCCTAAACCCTCTTCCTCTGGTGCAGTTCTCGCCTTGTCCGCCTGAGCCTGTAACTCCTGGCTGATTTTGAACTTGATTTCGGCCTCCCTCAGCAAGTGCTCAAGGATGCATTGGGCTCAAAGTTCAACATTCGGTTACAGGGTTGGGGTGAGGGTACTGGTTTTTGTTGTTTTGAGGGCCTCTTCTTAAGCGCTTTGTGGGCAGGCTTGTGGACTGGAACCTTTGAAAGCGCTACACTGTACCTGACTCGGCTCTTGTGACAGCGACTATTGCCCTTGCAGGGGGATGGGCTAGAGTCCCTTCTCCACTAGCATCCGCCAGAACGGCTGTTTGAGTCGTGGAGTAGGGGATACGTGGAAATTTAGGGCCTTGGGTGAAGGGTTCGGGGTCTAGGCTGCAAGATCTGTACACTTTGCTTACATCCACTGCACGCGAAGCCGCTTGCTGTCAGCTTCTTCTGCAAGGATCACCTGTGCCTTGTCGATACCTGGCTGGAATGCATGACATGCTCTTCTCAGCATGTGTCGCTCAAAGCCCTTCTGACCTTTCGTAAGCAGCTTCTTGACTTTGAAGACGGCATCCTGCAAGGGATGCAGTGCTAGGCAGAAACCTGCAACCTGCGAAAACAGTCACATGTGCAGAACTTCGTCCTTGAGCTGCAGCAGCAGGGGTCTTAAGCCTTCGGTGCGTGCAAGACATACCAAACCCAAGCGGATTCGAAGGTGCAAGTGTAATGCGGCAAGGTGACCTTGAACGAAGGCGACGAAGCGGTCTGCTAGCTCTCGAACTGCCTTCACGACTTTCGGGAAGTTCGTGAAAAGCTTCCTTTGCACCGAAGTTTTCTGTAGGCAGAACTTCAGTTAGGGTAGCACCGCATGAGACTGCCACAAAGGTAGACCATCCTCTACGAAAGCGCTGCCCGGAATCCTGAAGAGCTCCTGGATATCTTCCAGCAGCTCCGGATTCCCCATGGTGTTCACAACCTGCACTGGCAACTACAGGATGCATCTGGGAGATTTGAGCGGCCCGGCTCCTAAGAACCCTCCGGCCAGAGTGGCCAAGTCTGCGGAACCTCAAACCCCCAACTCGGAAAGCCTTAATGTTGACTTGCCTATTTTATAAACCCCCCTCAATTATAAAGCCCGACCCCCGGGACTCAATTATCAACCCCGCCCCCCTCAATTATAGAACCCGACCCCCGGAACTCAATTATCACCCCCCCCCTCAATTATAAAACCCGACGCCCCAAAACAATATATATACTATATACTTCGAACATCCCAAAAACTAAGAGAATCCAAGTTTAACAGCTGGAGGCTCTACCTGACACTGAAGATCATGAGCGATCGCTCATTATAACCCAAGTGAACCCTAAGAGTCGGCACTCCGGGCACGCAATGCGGTACATTTTCGGTGTGAGCACTCCGGGAGACTGTTTGAGACCAGCGACGGTATGCAGAAGCCCTGCGCTTCCAGCTTCCTTCCCAGCCTGGCACTCACCACACATACATGCATACAGATATGTACAGATATATGCATAGATATAGTGAGAGAGGGAGATGTACACATCTACATGCATGTATGTCATGTTCATGTTCATCATCGTTAGCATCATCATCATCACCATCATCATCATCATCACATTCACGAGCGTGAACACGACTACGACGGGCGCGACGATTTTGACCGTTGAATTTTATTGCGACTACAGCTGCTACACTGCTTCAGGAAGAGTCATGCTGAATTGAAATACTACTGTCGCCTTTGACCTATCCACTGTTAACCACAGTAGCCGCAGTGTTTCCCGGCAGACATCAACCACTATAGTCACTATAGTTGGTAGGGATCAGCTGCCAATGCTCTCTGCTGCACTGCTGCCGTCTGCTGTTATGGTTTCAGAAACACTAGTGTTGCGCCGCTGTCAATCTCCCGCAGCCATTCTGCTCAGCAGTATTAGCAGCACCGCACACAGCTGCATCTTAGAGAAGAGTCATCCGTCTTAGATTCCAAAAACTTCACCTGCACAAGTCACCCTAACCCGGCTTACACCCTGCTACCCTAATCTTTGGACTCCGGATAATCCGGGCCCTAGGCTTGGAGGCGTCAGAACTTCATGGGGCCTCCACGACCAAGGACAGGATTCGCTTCACCGGCCCCTCGATTTCTTTCCAGAAGGCTCTCATCTTGGAGAGAACTTGCGTGCCTCAGAGGGTGTTGGGTGGAGGGTAGGAATCATCTTGGAGCAATCTGGAGAATCTTTCGAACACCCTTCCACAAGTGCCAGAGTGCACGATTGAACGAGCTTTTTGGCTTGGGACATCTTCGCCTGCCAAATGCATTCGAAGGCAGGGCGCTTCCCAAACACACAAAAAGGCTGCAGTCCTGAAACGTGTTGCGCAGGCTTGAAAACAGAGTCGCAGCTTCGGCTTTCACTTCATCGAGGACTGCCAGACCTGCATTTCAAGAAGCCAGGATGGACAAAGAGCATATGGTTCAAGCCATCTGAGATTCTGCCACATCCATCTCAGGCTCTTGCTTCTGCAAGCGCCGTCGCCAAAATTGTCGCAAACATCACTCGCCTTGTCTCATGTAGTTCAACTGTTGAACATCAGATGCACGTCTCGTGCGCGAAGGATAGGGGCACTTGCAGTTACCAGACGAGGAACTATGAAGGTTTCAACGAGTGGAACTTTGGAGCTGCAGTCGAGGAGCAGATTTCATGTCCTTGAAATCACCAAGCATCGCATCGAAATCATTACCACCCCTGCCCGGCGCGTCAACGACGGATTTTTGCAGATACCTGGGCCAGAGCAAGCCGAGCACCAGATTCGACTGCACTCACTGGTCGCCTCGGTAACCCTGCTGCCTTTGAGAATGACTAGGCTCAATATAGTAACCCTCATCGAACCCTTCATGTAACCCTTAACGTAACCCTGATACTAACCCAACTCACCGCTTCAAGCAGGCGGCTGCAACCAGCTGTCGATGATGACGTCAGACTTGCCCCAAGCCCTTCGGCTTGCAAGTGACTGTGGCCCACGCATTGCAAAGACTGCAAAGCATGAAGATGTGTACATACGTAAGCCTGTATACATAGTATGTATATATATATATACATATATATATATATACATATGTATATCTATGTGTGTGTGTGTATGTATATGTCTATGTATATGTATATGTATATGTACATGTACATCTTTTTTGTATATATGTATATGTATTTGTATATGTGTATATGCATATGTATATATATATATGTGTGTGTATGTATATATTTATGTATATGTGTATATGTGTATATGCACATATGTATATATGTATATGTATATATGTATACATGTATACATGTCTATATGTATATGTGTATATGTGTATATGTGTATATGTGTATATGTGTATATGTGTATGTGTATATGTATATTATATGTACGTGTATGTGTTTTTGCATGTGCCTCTAATAAATGGACTCTAATGTCTGTCTACCGGCATTGGACTTTGGATGCGTTCAGTGCTCGACGCTGCTAATTAAGCTGCAGAAAACTCCCGCATGCCGGCAAAGGGCTTTGCAAGAGGGCTCAGCCACAAATCAGCCGGGGACCTATCGATATAGATACATAGTATGTGTGTATATATATCTATATATACATAAATACATACATATGTATGTCTACATCTTTAGTTCTTGATAGACACACAGTATATTCTCTTATGGGAGGCATTGATCCAAGTGCAAAAAAAACGAGGTGAAATGAGTGATGTTTTATAGTAGTATAGAGTTCGCACTTTAAAACTTAATATGTATGCATACCGACAGATGGACATCAACGTGCGTATGAGGTGCCTGTATATGTACAGAATACATGTTCATAACATCCATACACATGTTGTATGTATATAATATACTTAGCTATATGGACAAACTTTCTACACCACGAGGCCTCTTCGCCGCTTCTTTCAGTGGGTCGAGGAATGCTCCCATGTCCCGCGTGGCCAAAGCTGCCATGAGGTTGGCACCTGCGACTCGCAGACTCCAAATTCCAACCTAGGAGCAAGACCGGCCTGCTTTGATTTGTGGAGCGGAGAAAAAACCCAACAAAGAGAGCGCTCGACTAGGCACCGAGGACAGCAAGGGCTCCCTTCCATTTCGTGGGCGGTATCGCCATCAAGGGCTTCATGGTGACCATCTGGAGCTCAGCAGATCGAGAGCTGTTGTATGCCTGCCGCAGATCATGGAATAAAAGCCCTACGCCGTCAACCCCGCAAACACACTCCGACAACATCACACAACCAAGATGCGAATGCAGACAACACACACACACAAGCAATGTCGTCGAAGGTCTTGTCATGCACAAATCTAGATTGTGCCATGAGGGGCCTGGCCGATCACATCCTCCAGTTCCATCATCGAGGACCTCGTTTCTCTCTGCTCACCGTGCTGCTTTCCGAGGCAGAGGCTACCGTGCTGCTAAGAAGCGGTGGACTTGGCCGTCCTCACGATTGCTAATGCGCCCAACAGTCGAGTCAAACAAACACTCAAGCAGCACAGCGGACAACGTACAGCTGATCCCTGGTTTGCCTCGCCATTACTGCGAGGAAAACTTTCCCAATTACATGACAGAGTTCAGCAGATTGCAAGTGTGTAAAGCAGTCGCGCTTGTACGAGGAACCCGAGACTTAGGATGGCAGCACGTCTGAATACTGTGCCCTTGAATAAGTGTCCCTGAACAGCCTGACTGCGCAAACCCTTTTTCCTAAACCGAAAAACCCTTAAACTCTAAACTCTGTGCCCTCAACCCTCAAACCGTTAACCCCTTAACCCTTGAGCCATTAAGCCCTCAACCGCTAAACCCCAAATACCCTTAAAATCCCTTAAACCCTAAACCCCAAAGAAGCACCTGGTTCCAGCTCGAGGAGGCCCCAATGCTTCTGTGAGCGCTTGGAGAGCTGTGGCAACGTCATCTCAGGAGCAGGGCTCCAGTCCTTTCAGGGTTTCGGGCTTGAAGGGTTCAGGGTTTCGGGCTTCAGGTTGTAAGGGCTTCAGGGTTTAAGGTTTCGGCGAAACTCGGACATGAGAGGCGAGGTTATTGATTCGTAGTCGGCTGGAGGCGAAACCTATCTGTTGAGATAGCATGACTTCGTTCTTGCAGCCCAAGCCAAGGTTCATTCCGGCTACGAGTACGAGGAGGAATGCGAAATCATGGAGATAGTGTTCACGTCAAGGGGCTTAAGGGTTTCGGGCTTGGGGTTCTCAGAGCACAGAAGAGAAGCGGCACAGCTTGGAGTATGAACGCTCTGGTGCCTCCTGCTCCAAGAGACTGGAGTAGCCCTTCGGGTCGGAACCATCAGGCAGCATGAAGTAGTACAAGTCCTGCCAAAGATGGTGAGTGAAACTTTCATGAACAATATAGAACAAGTATACACATGATAACTTAACAGTTAACTATTTACAACAACCGTTCGATCGATATATATATATATACATATATATATATGTGATATGTGTATATATATATATATGTATATGTATATATATATATATATACATATGTATAGCATATCTGTTTAACATACCCTTGAAGACAGCCGTCAAGCCCAAGTGGAGGTCCTCTACTCGGATGATGTCTTCAAGTGGATACTTCTCACCTGGCTGGCGTGACTTCACTGCAATGTCGGTTGTGACTGGAGACTCCATCCAGGGCAGCCTATGTAAATATCGAGGCCGATGACAGCCGCAAGGCTCAGGGCAGCGAGGAACATGACGTTGCAGCCCCTCTTTGTGAGAATATCCTCTCCTGCCTGAGATGGCTGACATCCACTGACACTGGCATTCGCTGAGGATCGGCACCCCGCAAACAAATTGATGGTGGCTTAACGGCTAGAACTCTGTAAGGGCACCCCGTTTGCCAGAGCTCACGCACCGAAGCATCCCAACACACAGGCACACACACACACACACGTGTGGAGTGACCCTCAATATAACCGAAGTTATACCACAGTTTAGCAGGTTATTCTTATCTCTTGCATCATTGCTCTTCAATCACATCCCTGCTTTCATCGCTTCTCTTCAATCACATCTCGACTTGCCAGGTTTGACTTGGCCTGGTTGCCATTCGCTATGCACCTATGTACGTAGAGACGGCGTCCCTTCTCTATATCACTGTGCAACGAGAGCGAGCGTCTTCGTTGGCAGGAGACTCTCAATGCTTACTCCTGCCCCCCGCTGTTTTAAACTCTTGGCTTCAGAGCGTCTCACACACACAGCGAAACAAACGACACACACACACACACGGGGACAGACCGATAGTCTTGCACTGCATTGTCAGACGAGCGTCTTTTGCAAGGAGCGCCCATGCAAAGAATACCGCTGCAGTCACCATCTCGAGCACAGTCAGCATCATCACCGCGATCAGCAACAGGTTCCAAGGTCGCATAGCTTCCTCAAAGCAAAGGTCCGAGACCCCGAAAGACTAAGACCCTAGTCTGACATTGCTTCTGAAGCCGTGTGAAGCAAGGCCCAAACGAGCGTGTCACAGTTCGCGAGAGTGTCACCTCAGTAGATCCGGAAACACAGCATGTCATTCCCAACAGAACGACACCTTCCGTCTGAGTTGCAAAGATCCGGATCGTGGTCTTGCTCGTCTTGCCCCAGCTCCGATTGCAATCCATCCATCGTCGTATACTCCTTTGATAGCACGCTGATACAACGAGCAAGCTTGGACATCAATTCGGCATGCTCTCATGTGCCCAAGTCTCATTGACAGTCTCAAACTCGTTTTTGGTGGGAGGTTCGGCAATAAAGCCTCGGTCCAGTCATAAGGTCAGCTGACCTGGCTTGCAAACCCAGTGCTTCCTGTAGCCTGTCGAATGTGTATCCTGTTGCAATGATGCGTCCGTAATCAGATACGCTTCTATTGTGCAACCAAGGCGCTCAAAGAAACACCACCCCCACGGACCGATTTGCGGCAGTTCTCATAAATATTCAAGGCGATTGGATCATTCTTGGAACCTTCCGGACCTTCCAAGATGTCGTCGCAAAAGTGCAAAAGCTTTGCCTCAGCTGGGTGCCATGAGCTGCCGGAGATGCAAACGGACATGATGCTGCAGCCGGCAGCCCGCACCTTGCACATCTCAGCATCGACGAAGACGGAAAAAATGGCATCGTGCGGCTTGCAGAGCGCATTTGCGGAAGCGGACCAGAGGCCAGCTTGAAGCTCGAAAGCCTAAGGCAGCCGTGAGTTGAGCGGCTTTTTTCCTATGAAGCAATGCTGTCTGTCATTGTCCTGCTTCCATCTCACCGAGCCGCCACGTGAGGCTCCGTTGAACGCTCCAGCTTGCGTTGCAAAGCCGGGCTGAAATTCGTCTAAGTTGCGCAGTGCATTGCAGCGCGGTGACCACAAATTTCTCGGACACGACCATGGCCCTTTCTCGTCATCATACCCAAGATGCTCGGTGGCCAGTGGCTGGCAAGATTGCCACCATTGCCTTGAACCTGGGCGTCGCTTGGACTCTCGCGCCACTCTTGGAGTCGGCTGAGCCCAGGGCATTTCGTAGACTTCAGAAGGGGGCACTTCGACATGAAAGCAGTGCCACCTCGCAGAGCATGGGCCACTTCCCACAAGGAAGCACCTAACTTACGGATCCTCCGAGTGCGGAGCCTCTCGGAGGCCAGAGCCCAAACCTCAGGAGCTAGGAGCCAGGACTTCAGGAGGATCCGGGGAAATCTTAGATATTCTTAGCACACCAATTCGACGTCCAGCGACAAGGAAGGCCGCCGACGCGACAGCGAAGGCGAGAGCCGCCCCCCGCAGTCCTTTGCTTGGACTGCGAGGCGCAGAATCCTCCTCCGGGCCGTTTGGGCCCTCTGGCACAGCTCCGGTCGCTTCCGTCGAGGCAGCTGCGTCACCTCTGTAAAGGCTTCGCTTCTGACGCAGACCAAGAACCCAAACAAACGACGCCTGCCTTCATTCATAGAAACAATGTAGTCTGGTGCCTGCCAGCAATTTCGGGTTCGACGAACGCTGCAGAACAGGAAAAGCGTGGTTTCTCGAAGGCACGTGGGGGCCTGTTTGTCAAACCACTCGCATAGCACTCACGTGAAACGAAGGACGCGCTCATTCTACCGAAGAGCTTCGAGCCAAGTGGCATGACACGAGCGGCAATTTCCAAGCATGCCTATATACCGCCAACACCCGCTGCCTGGAACCTTCCCTTCGCTCAAAGCTGCGGAGTCTTGTCGTGTCTTGCAGCCAAGGGTCAACTACCAATGTGCTGTTTGCAGGATCGCAAACAGCTCCCTGCAGGCAGTCCTCAGATATCTGACATCTGGATCCAAGATCCCGCTGAAAGTTGCAGCTGCTGGACAATATGTTACCGCTGCTGTGACATTTGTCACTCTGACGAACAAACACACATGGCGGGCATCCCGTTTCTCAATGCGCGTCCTACCACACTGGGTTCATCCTCCCAGCCCCTCATAGTAAAGTATAGGAAGTACTGTATGTGTATACGTAAAAATATGTGTGTATATAATATATATATATATAGAGAGAGAGAGAGATAAATAAATAGGTGCCTAGTCGAACAGGAGTTGGAGCTGGCACTGGGAGCTTTGACCGGAGACGTGCTGTCCGAGGTGCCTTGCACTCCGACTGGCCTTGCGAAGTCGCTTGCGTTCCCGCCGGGCAGGCAGTGCATATGGGGCCTTCGTTGTGACCCAAACACAGGGCACTACAAACATCCCCAAAAAACTTGACTAGGACACTTAGCGTTGTGGAACTCTCTTCCGCTGTGGGGCTGCGCGAGTCTCGCGAGCTCCCGTCCAGGCATGGAGCGCACGGAGTGCTGGGCCCCTGTCCTTTGGACAGGTCGCTGAAGAGGCCTTTAGGCCCTTAGGCAACAAAGAAGCTTGCAGAAGCCAGGCCCCTTTCAGCCACACTCCCACTGGGAGGCATCATACCCGCAGGCTGTAAGAGACAAGAAAGCTTACACGGCGCTCCTGTGGTGTTGTCCGCAATGTTCGCCAGCATCCTGAACAAGGCTGAAGTTACCACCTCGAAGCCGTCCTCACCTGAGCCATCCCATGGCCATGTGGGGGTTTCCGAAAAGGACCCTCATATACCCTAAATAGTAGGATCCTTATTATAAGGACCCCAAAACAAGGTACCCCTTATTTTCGGAAAGTCCCATATTAAAAAGCGGAAACGTCTGGCTGTAGAGTGGCGCTTCGGTTACCAAGTCACAGGGATATCGCATCAGCTCCCGTGAATCTTCCGAAGGTCTCGGATATGCCTGAGCAGATCTACGGTAAAAGCCCAACTCTGTGCCATAACCCGCTCTTGTAAAGGACACATACATACATTGACATACATACACTGACATACATACATACACATACACATACGCACATACATACACACATACACACATACACATACACATACACATACGCGTGGCTCTTCATCTCTGGGACAATCTCAGCTTCCCGCCATTGGCAGCTGCAGGGACGAGGCCTGGAAAGAACCCGACAAGGAAACCCATAGTAGGAGTGGCCATAGTAGCGATGATAAGTAGTAGCAGTGGTAGTGGTGGTAGTGGTGGTAGTGGTGGTAGTGGTGGTAGTGGTGGTAGTGGTGGTAGTAGTAGTAGTAGTAGTAGTATCATCAATAACAACCAAAATGATACTTGCTGATCTTCTGCTGGCACGGAGTGCAAAACGCCCTCGGCAAGATGCGTCCACTTTCAACAGGAGATGCGCTTCCGCTCGGGCCTGGGAGATCTGATACACCTGACAGCAACCCGAGAGTTTCTGGTGGCTCGTTACGGTTAAGGCCATGCGCGCCTCGAGGAGTTGCGGTGTCAGCCGAGTGTAGGCTAAGAGCGTGCCGGTGCTGATGGTGTCGGCTTGCGGCGGCTGCAGGCTACCCTGCCTCAGAGTGTCGGTTTAGGGCTTTCGGGTGTAGGTCTTTCAGTTTAGGATCCTCGTGACATCTCACAGCAAATCTCGAGCCCCGACAATCGTCGCCCGCCATCACTGACATTCACGGCCTCAGTGGAGGAAGGAATGCACCTGAAACATCATGACACACACCTTTGCCAGCTCCAAGATCCTTGCAACGAGTTGGGAGACGCCCATAATCGAGGATACCAGGAAGCCCTGGCTGTTGAAACACAGCAGCTGGTAGAATGAGTCCTGCCACACTATACACAGAGTCCCAACGGTAGTTGAAGTCGCCAACTGCAGCGACCGATGTTCCAAAGGTATAAGCAAGATGACCGCGGCCCGTCCCTGGTGGCATCGCACTCCAGCAGCAAGAGCTGTATTTCCGTGTTTACCTGTCCTCGGCTGGCGGCCGATAAAGGGTGCATCGCCGGTACATCTGCCACCCGTCTTGCGACATCACGCCTGTCGTGCTGAGACTACGTCCTCTCTGATGCTCATACATCAGAGTTTGCCAGAAGACGGATGGACCGAGTTCCGACAAATGCAGGACACGCCCAAGGACTGTTTCCCAGTTGCTAGCATGTGGGTGCCACCTTTTCTTCAGGTCTTCAGGGCTGCTTGATACAGCAATAAACCTATGCTGTAGCAGATTTCGGCATATCAGTATCCTTTACTTTCTGCAACTCCCACTTCCGACAAACTGAATGCAAGGAGGCACCGCTTTGAATTTTGGGTGTAGGGCTTCGGGCCGCCTATCAACCTCAACTTTAAACTGGGTGCGGCTTGCGGCACTGAAAGCCGGCGCAACCGAATTCGAGAAGAGAATACTTTCCAGCTCATCCGCAAGCTTCACAGTCCTGGAGTCTGTTGGCACGTCTCTGGAACAAAGGCTACTCGCGGCCTTGCCGTGACATGCTGGATCTTCCTTTTTTTGAACCCGTCTTCTCCCCAAGCCACTCTCGCACGTCTCAAAACGAGGCCACACGGGCCAGGGGGTACAGGCCAGCATAGGTTACATGCCGGGTCTTCGTCTTAGGGTTTAGGACGTAGGGCGTCCCTTTAGGGCTTAGGGATTGACACGCTGGATGTCTGTCTGTACTTGAGCCACGGGTCAAGGCCATTGCAGCCGCTGCAGCTTGAGCAGCAGACAAAGAGGGCTCCATGTTGTAACGACCTTAGGTGTCAACATGATCCCTGAACCCTAAAGCCCTAAAAGCCTAAAACTCTAAAAGGACCCAAACCCTAAACCTGCAGCACGCAGCAGCCCCAGACTTGTGGCGAGGAGCTCTGGTAGGCAGCGGCGAAGGCTTCTCTGGTCACTGAGGTGTCGCAGGGATGAATGGTACATGGCCTGCAGGAGAACTTAGGGAGATCACGCCAGGATAGCAGAGTAGGGTATAGGGCATAGCAGAGTATGGTATAGCATAGTGCAGTGTAGTATAGAAGCGCATAGTAGAGTATAGCACAGCAAAGTACAACATTGTACAGTACCTTTTCTGCCGGGAAGCTCGATCCTGGAACTCCTCAGTCGAACGTTGGGGTTTAAGGTTTAAGGTCCAGGGGTTAGGGTGTGGGGTCTGCGGTTTCAGGCTTAGGGTTTAGGGTTTAAGGTTACGGGTCTAGGGTGCGAATCATGTCCAACTCAACTCAAATCTATGCTACAACCGTGCTATACTGTACTATACTGTACTATGCCTCAACATACGTTACTATACGATACGATGCGATGCTATGCGATGCTATGCTATACTATGCTATACGATACTACCCTATACTGTAAAGTACTAGACGATTCTACCCTTTTACTCTGCCATGCCATGCCATGCCGTGCCATGCCGCGCCATGCCATACTATCTAATCAACCCTAAACCCTAAGCCCTAAACCCTAAACCTAAGCCCTAAACCCTAAACCCTAAGCCCTAAGCCCTAAACCCTAAGCCCTGAACACTAAACTAATCCCATGAGACGCCAGGGGTCCAAATCTCAGGGGCCAGGATGTGCAGAGCACTGGCAACCAGCAGCGCCTCCGAGAACTCTGGGGTCGCCGAGTCCCACATCAGGATGGCCTGGAAAAAAATGCAATATAATATAATATAATGTGATATAACGTAGTAATATTGTATATATATATATACATATATATATATATGTATATATTATTACTATTATTACTATTATTATTATTATTGTTATTATTATGATTATTATTATTATATATCTATATATCTATATATCCATATATATATATATTATATTTTTTATAGATCGAAGGCAAGACTGCAAGACCTAAGCCTGGACTCTTGAGCACACGCATACGCGTCGAGACATTCTTGCTACGAGCTGCGGCTTAGAACTACAGTTGATTAGGGCCTACTAGGGAACAACACGACCAGCTACGTCTACGTCCAACACGAGGGACTGTGCGTCCAGGTCGGCAGGTCAGGCAGGCAAGCAAGCAGGCATGCAGGCAGGTAGGTGTACGTCTGCTGTGGGGGTGGGTGGACGTGCATGCGTCGGTAATGCCCGAGCTTTCGACAAAAACGCAAGTCCGACGAAGCAATGACGAAGGTGCTGAGGCAACGCATCATCAACATACATATGTTCGGGTTTCAGCTGTCCTTCGGGCTGAAATGCAAGAAGTCGATAGACATCATGAGCTCCACACCCTGCTTGTACTCCTAAGTCTTCCATGCCAGCGCCATCAAAGCTTCGAGACAGCACAGCCAGTGACAGCATGGTACCGAAAATGCCTAAAACGCAAAATGCAAGCAAGGGTCTGTACAAACCACGAAGACGTCAGGACCTGAGCTGTCAGACGGTCATAGAGAAAACATGTCAAATATTCAAGCGAATTCTGCACCAATGAGGGAAACGTACTTGATGTTCGTGAGACTTCGCTTTGACCTCTTTCTTGCAACGGATCTGGTATGGCAGCAGCTTTTCCTACACACGTATAACATATACAGATACATCGGAGCACTTTGCTGAACTTTGCTGTATCCCAATGTGCCCTCTTCCCTCATGCCCTTTCCTTTCCTGTTGCTTTCCTTTCCTGTTGCTTTGACAAACGCATGTGCATCTCCCCACGAGGGTTCCTTCCTTGCTGGTTTCTGTTTGGGGTTTAGTTTAAAGTTTAGAGTTTTGTCAGCTTGGGCTGCCTCATTCCTTCCTGCATTCCAACCTTCCTCGGGGCCTCAACAATGTAGGAAATCGAGTTGGCAGAACACAATGCCTCAGGCATCGAAGATTGTTGCAGAAAATCAAGCCACCTTAGAAAAGGAACATGACTTCCTACGGCTGCAGCAACCACAGCAGCCACAGCAGCAATAATAACAACAACACCCTGGCAAAGTCTCCAAGCAAAGCTGCGGACCTTCTGCCGCCATTTTCCTCACAAGCGTGGACAAATCGCCGCAAGGTAAGTGAGCATGACAATATTGGGATGCCTCATTTACAGCGTCCTTGTTTTCAGACTCTTACTGCTCGGCAATTGAATTCGGTTCTCTGTGTTCTCTGGTTTCCTGAAGCTCCCATGTGGTTTGGATGCTCGATAGGCCGTAGAAACTCGGCCTCATGTCCTCAATGACGTTGTCAATGGCAGAGCTGCCTTGACTCATAGGGTTTAGGGCCCAGGGCTCCGGGTTCAAGGTCTTTGGGTTCAAGGTTGGTCTGGTTGGAATATATCGGCCTATTGGGACACAGGCTCCAGCAAGATGTGAATCGTGTCAAAAACTCACTGCCCCTGGTGCTATTAGGACTGCGTTATGCGATGATCATTACTATCATCAAGTTTCATCCTTTTGTGTTCATGAATGTCACGGCAACCAGTACAACCATCGTAAGCAAGCTGTATTGCTGTCACCTGAGAACGAGCACCTTGAGGTCATATCCTCATCGACCGAAAGTTCATGTAGCTGCTTGTTGGCATCTTCAAGATGTGGCAGGAGATTTCGTGGATGCGCGGATGAGGAGTCGGCTGCAGAGGCCGGTTGCTCAAGGTGTACACTGTACAGGAGTGGGGCTTGCTAAAGGGATGAGGTCTTGGCAAACATGTTTGCTGCTACCCCATGAAGAACGAAAACAGCAAGATGTGTTGCCGTCATGTCTCTTCATGGGTAGGTATTCGAAGGTTTAGAATGCGGTACAGAAATTGAATCGGCGACTATCCCCGACCGGAGCTGTCAAACACATGCTGCCGCAGGAACGATGCCGATACACCAAGGTCATCCCCATGGCCGTGGCTGCAGTGGCCTTGGGGGAGGACACTGCTCGGTCTTGGAAAGTCCCATATGCGCAATCCCCGAAAGTCTTGGCCAGCGACAGCACCCTGGCACATTGCCGCAAAGTATGTCTCGGCGCTTTCCCAAATCGCCACAGTCTTGGCTCCTGCGAAAGTTGGTCCGGTTCCGGCATTCTGAGAAGGGCCGCCTTAGTTGCGCCTCGTGCATGGAGGGTTTGGAGCGGACGTCTCATGAAAAGCTCCGGCGGGACTTCCTCGGAGTTTCCCATGTCTCAAACAATGAAGATGGTCGGATCGTGCAGGAATCGCCCGCTGCAGCAGAGCTGCTAAGGAGTTGATCAAAGTGCGTCCGTGTCCCTGATTTCGTTGTTTCTCCTGGGCTTCAGCTGGAGAAGACGAGTATCAAGGTGGACAGAGTACGAGTTCATCTTCCCTGGCATCACAGCGAGTGCTGTCTGCTACCGACTCTCCGCGCTGTGCCTAACGTAGGCACCATATGCAATGTTGCAACCAAGTATCAGGAAGTGAAACGAAAGGAAGGAGGATCGGAACACTATGGGAAGAGGTGAGATTCGCCGCGACCTGGCAGGACGACATTCTCGTAGCCGGAATGTTGCAACTGCTGGACACACGCACACACCCACCACTTCAGCCTCCGAAAGCTCGCGGGAAATCGGCCCTATGAAGACTCGCAAGTTGTAGCCTGCCATCTGATGAGAAAGGCCCGTGAGAGCTTGCCTGACACCAGCACTGTCCTCCATCTGGACCAACTGGTGCATGCGCATCCTCGCTTTGCATGACTGTGACGGATCATGCACTGAGGAGCGGATATCTACATGTCCTGCAGCATGTCTGCATATTGTCCTCAGTCTTCCCACTCACAACGAATCAGTGATGTCGAACCCACCACCGTCAACGTGACAAGTCTTAGAAAGATGCGGCGAACTTCTTCCGCCGAACCGGCATCATCCCGTATGTCCAGGTTGATGCCGTCCTAGGTACATGAGCACAAGGTCCCGTCGCGAGGAATCATCCCGGCCAAGAGCAGCCGAGCTTCGATAATTCCTCGTGGAAGCAGATCCAAGATCAGTTGCAAGCCTGCAGCAGGTTGTGAAGCCTGGTTGGACTGGATGCAGCAAAGACTTCCCGTTTGCCTTGTAGGGCTTCTAGGGAGTCAGAAGGGTCTGCTCCAGTTAAGCTCAACGTGCCGGAGACGGTGATGTTAAATGCGGGCACCTGTCCAGAAAGATGGCATCAGCAGAAAGTAAACTGCAACAGCCTGTCGCAGTTGCGCCTGGGCAAGTACTGCCAAAATAATCGCCAATCGCCACACGAATCCGCTGAAGCCATGCATGAGGTCAACGAAAAGTCATCAAGCGTTGCATGAGCGAGGTCGACGGCAAGTCGTATTCTAGCACACCTGACGTTTACACCGCTGCATGGTAGAGAAGGGCTGAAGTTGCTAAAGCATGAGAAGGGCTTGCACTTCTTGTCTTTGCACTACTTTATCTCACGAATTCCTTGAGGAACCTGAAACATCATGTGCAAAGAGGTCCAGGAGATTGACCGCGCATTGGACATCTCTGCTTCAGTGCACTTCTGTCCATGGCTTTTAATTTTCGATACGGCCAAGGAGTCGGAGCGCTCGACTGATCCTTGTGTAGGCATTCGTCGGCCGCAAAGGCATTGTGAATTCTGACTCCCCGCTAATTAAGGACTTGACTTGAAAAATGCATGCAACGAACAAAGCTGGAAAACGAAACTCTGCGCCAGCTTTGTTAAGTGAGTGGTCATCACTGATCACTGAATCACCGAGTCTTTGACTTGTCGAGCCACCAGAAACCCGTGCGGGAGCGGTTGCCGTGCTGACAAGTTGACGTCGGTTTTCCGAGCCTGAACTTTCCCGCATCCATGTACATAGCACAGCAGCTCTGCTGCTCGTCGCCAAAGTGTACCTCTAAATCTTTGCCACTTGCAGGGCTGGCACTGCTGCTGGAAGAGTCGGAACAATCCAAACCGTCCTCATCCTCGTACTCCTCGCAAGAGACGGGCCCGAAGGTGGGACGAAGGTCAGTGCTGTTGCCTGTGAAGAGGAGCCGAATGGGAGGTAGCAGCATATCGGTACGCTCTGGCGTCCCCTCACCACCGAAAGACGGAACAGCCGGATCTGCCCCATCTGCTTCGCTTGCTCGAGAACCGTTGCTCAGCTCCCCTATGGAGGGCAAACGGAGCGACACCGGTACCACAGCTTCGTCGCTTGCACTTTGCTCTTCGGAAGCCGTGGGCGACGGCGACGCCGTGGGCGACCGCGACGCCGTGGGCGACCGCGACGCCGCGGGCGAGGGCGGCGAGGGCTGAAGTGAGGAGCGCCTCGGCAAAGGTAGGCGAAATCGGCCCAAGCCCAGGGGCCGAGTTGGCCGAGCCTTGGGTTTCGTCTCCGCGATCTCGGAAGCCCCGGCTGGGCCGTGATGGTCGGAGTCTGCGCTCAAAGGCACAAGGCTGGAGCTTCCTCCCGTCCCGGTGCCCACATCCTCTCGCGGCTCTGGGCTCAAGGGAAGAGTTGAAACCGCAGCTTCCTGTTGCTGCTGAGATCTGTCCTCAGACGCATGCACTGCAGACACCTGGGCACAATCAGCTTCTGTCAACCGAAAAATGTTCGAGCAACGCAAGAACACGAAAAAGATCTGAACGGTCCGAGCTGCGAGTGAGGCAGAGCTTGTCCTTCTTGACTCGTCATGGAAGCTGTGCGGATCTTGCGGCTGGCTGTCAAAGTCTAGACTTTCACTGTTCATGGCAGTGCCAGTGGCCGAGCTTCGGCGGCTTAAGCTCTGAATGCTGGCTCCTTCATCTGTTGTCGACTGATGATCTGCCAGCTCTGCTGATCTGCATGCTTCCACCGCCATGCCGCTTGAGTCAGTCGACAATCGGCAACCAGATGTTTCCCAAACCTCCCCATCTGTCGCTGGTCGGGTTCGTTTTGGCCTTCGACCAGATTCGATTGGAAAGATGCTCTGAGGGCTATCTAGCGACGAAGCTTTTTGCTGGAGTCCTCTCACCCCCATCTTGGCAATCACGGACAAACTTCGCAAAGTTATGGAACGAAGCCTGGACTCCGCCGGAGCCACGGGTTTGCGATCATCGCGCTCCCGCTTCAGGTCCTGCTTCACCCGGGAAGTTTCCTGCATTCGGTCCTCCACGAGCTTCTCAAAGCGTTCACGCTCCTTCGGATAGGCCAGCAGTAGCCGCTGGAAGCTGTGTTGATTGACACTACGGCAGTCGCATGTGTCCAGTGCTCGGACTGTACAGGTGCGCTTACCGTTTCCGAACAAGGCCATCTCACCAAAAACTTGGCCGCTCTCCAACACGCCCACCACTTTCTCACCAAGGATGACTTCCACTGAACCCCAGTTAAGAAAATACATCCTGTCCCCGTCGTCGCCTGCTTTGATAATTTCTTGCTCTGGCAGGAATAAGTCGACCTCAAGAAGCGTGGACAACTCCTGCAAAAACTTCTCCGAGCTCTTGCTGAAAAACTCAGACCTTGCAAGCATGCATTGGTTTTTGATCACCGACTTCGACTTCTTCAGATCAATGGAAGTCTTGCGATGCCTTAGTGACGGCATGAGGAGTTCCCTCTGCTACCGTCCACATTCTGCCAACCTGCTCATTGTCGTCAGTGCTTGAGCCAGCGCAGGGTGACCGAAGCAGGTGCCGTCAGTCGCTCAATTTGTTGGCTAGTTGACACATGGCTGTGCCGAGTCATGCTGAGTTGCGAAGGCAAGCGCAGCACTCGACTTTTTATGATGACCAATCACGGCCCGTCGCCTCTTTTTTGCTAATTGCTTGTGGCGGCACCTGCCATATTTCAGACAACTGAATCAATTCCATCGAAGGGGCAGGTTACAAAAAGAAACATATGTGCTGTCCCTACTCAGGGCTTGATCCAGCCATGTCGTTACGCTGCAACGTACTTCCTGTTATGGCCGGTGCACAGTTAAACCAACATCCCGCCGATCTCGCCAAACCATTGCGTGTGTTCAATCCACATGTTTCATGCAGTTTTGCAGTCTTCCATCGTCGGACGTCATGCTCTAACCGCGGCACCGTTGACAAGTGGCGGTTTCGGCAAGTTTTCCTTGGGATTGTCAGTTGGCCCTGTCGTTCTCCCGCCGCAGTCCCACGTCTCCAGCTCCAGAAATCGCGCTCCCTTTACCCGCATACGAATTTTCTCTTCGCAAATCATGCTGCTTCCGCAGTGCCGTGTTTTGGGTGTGTCGGACCGGGACTACTATGTAGGTTAATGTCTATGGCTTGGCGGCATAATTCATAGGATGCAGACAGACAGCAAAGCAGCTGGGGCAGTGGCATCTGTTGGCTCTTGCGTTCAAAAATATCAGTGGCACCTAAGCGAGGTGTTGAACGCAATCTCATTGCACTGCTCCCTGCAGCACATCTTCCACAAAAGCTTCAAGGATCTTCAAGGTGAGGTGTCGGACCTCCCTTCTCATTCTCAAACTGCGTATTGAGTCGGCGGGAAAGCTAAGCCCACGGCGACCTCATCGGAAGCCCACTGCTGCCTGGCTGCAAGAGCCGAAGGCATCCCGAGATGTAAGGTTCTAGTTTTGGCTACGACTACAAGAGAAAGGAAGGCAATAGGCATGAAAAGAGCACAGACTGAACATACGGGCCTGCCAAAGGAAGGCAAGGAGAAAGAAGAAGACCCTTACTTGGGCGGAAGTCTTCATGCAGTTCCTGTCATGGCCGTGGTGCTCCCTGGCATCCCTGGGGGACGGTGCGGGAGGATGGGCAGCACGTCCACGATGGGAGCGAAAATCACGAACTCCTCCGGCAGCCGCGCGTGTGCTGCCTGGCATAGAACCATTAGCATCTCAAGTTTCTGAAGTTTCTGCACCATACACATACACCTATAGAATATAATATACAAGTGTATATATATATGCATGAATGCATGAGTGCATGTATGCATGTATGCATGTATGTATGCACGTATGTATGCATGTATGCATGTATGCATGTATGCATGTAAGCATGTATGTATGTATGTATGTATGTATGTATGCTTACCAAGAGCTGCAATAAGAGGCTTCAACATACTTCAGCTTCGCACCTCGGGGATCGAGGCCACGCCCGCTGCAACCAGGGCAGCATCGGTGCCACGGAGCGCAGTCTCCTGGAATGCGACTTACGCCGCTTTCCGATGCCTTCTTGACTGGTACTGTAGGACCCTTATGGATATGATTATGATGATGACTATTCTTATGATTACTATTAGTGTATTAAAAGTAGCACTGGAATTTCTCAGTATTGTGATTATCATGGTTGATCATGATATGACTAGTTACCCATGACTAGTATTGCTAATAGTCTTATCTGCAGGTAGGCTGGGGTAGAGGAATTTTTTGGTGACCAGAAGCGAGGGGCCTTTGGGGCGGCGGGTGTCACGAAGGTTGTGGAGAGCAGAAAGGCGCTGCCAAGGAGGGCCTCGTGGCAGGGAAACCAAGGTCCAAACCACAAGCGGTTTAGGGTTTAGGGTTTTAGGGTTTAGGGCTTAGGGGTTAGGGTTACAAGCGAGATCTTTCTGAGCTCCAGGCGGCCACCACCAGGAGAGAGCTCGACCTGGCCATGTCTGCAACCCACGGCATCCGCAACGACAGAGCGCTTCTCGAACCTTCGAACTGCCATGGCGTTGAGGTCGGATACTTCGAGGCCTGCTTCTGCTTTGCTTTGAGCCGGCAGTTGCTAGATTGATGCAGACTGCACACTTCAGTGACGTTTTACGGCAAGGAGCGTCGGAGAGCTGGGATCCCAAACACACTTTTCTGAGAGCAGCATTCAACACGAGGGTGGAATGCACATCAGGTCTCAGACGAACGTCATGAAACCGCGCCCCAAATCGCAGGATCCAGACGGCCCCAGCTGAACTTCCGAGATGTGCCAAGGCACTCAGAGTCCATACACCATCCTCACGTTTGAATCGCTTGCAGGGGATGCTCTGACAAGCCAACGTAGCTAGTCTTGCAGGTCTGCTGGGCGCACGCAAAAATCCACTGGCGCTTGCTGACATGACATGCTGCTTAAGATCTCACTTCAACAAGCCGCTCGTCTGTATGGAAGCGAGAACGGACCCTTTGCAAAGAATCCTGAACACCTAATCATTCATGCCAAGTGATGCCAAGTCTCCCGTCACAGATCATGACCTTGTTCAAGCAGTCCAGGCTCGCCAAGCTCTCTTCGATGTCTCTCACGTCAATCTGAAAGCTTTTTGCCAGGTCTTGAAGCAGGTCAGCCTTTCGCATTTGTAGCCCGTGACGTATCAGGTGTTTGCTCACCGCCGCTTGCAGCTCTCGAGAGTCTGCTCGGGAGCTGTGAAACCTTTTCTCTTTCGGAGGCGTCGACGGGGCACTCCCGCCACGGCCGCGCTCGACTGCGAGGCAGCCCCTCTTCTTGGCCTCCTTCGGCGGTGTTGACGGCGCTGCTCCGCACGTTTCTGCGGAGGTGGCGGGCCTCCTCCTTGGAGGAGTCTGGTCACCGCCGACGTGCAGCGGCACTTGCCGCTCTTCCCGCACCACACGTGGCTTGGGCGGCTCGCTGGCCCAGCGGCGCAGCTTGCTGCGCAAGGCGGCCATGGCACGCTCCGCCCCGAGCAAGGCCTTCAAGAGGAGCTCCCTTTGCGCTGACGAAGGCGCCTCCCTGGCGCAGCGGAGCAAGGCTTCCTGTGCTCCCGCAATGGCCGGGTCGGTGGAGCCAGGAAGGGCTCTCAAACGTTGCAGGAAGGCATCGCCAAGCTCCACGGACTCGCCAGGCTCGCAGGGCTTCAAAGCCGAGGCCGGGAGCCCCGGAATGCGCCTGAAGGGCTCGGGCTCATCCAAGCACAGGGCGATGACCTCCAGCTGTCGGAACTCTCCGAAAGACTGCATCTAGAATGCAAGCATGCAGGTCTTAAGCCAAGCAAGGAGCCGTCACTCCACCGTCATTGATGGCAGAGATCAGAGCCGGAACTGCGGTGCTGGAGTGCTGGTCATCCACCTTGACCTCACGTGACTCAGCCCTGAAAGCCTGTGTTAACGAGCTCGGACCCCCTTTGCTGCATCGCTGTCTTGGAGCAACGGAAAATGTGCCTAAGTCTGCAGTCCAGGACACCCAGCTTCCAATTTGTCCCGCACCGACATCGACCGCCATGCGCAGATGCGGATACTCTTACAGCACTTCTTGTCAAGTCTCGATTGCACCTGAAATTTATCGAGTCTGCCTGTTTAGGGATGCCCGCGTCGGGCCCCACTCCATTGCGCCTGCTTGGGTTGTCCCTTTTGTTGCAGCTACACTCAGCTAGACACGCTAGCTCCAAATCGGTACAGCAACACAGCACACCCACGCAGACTGGCTCAACCCAACACGAGGATGGACGCTGCTACCAATTCAGGTCTCCGCCTCTCGCTTTCCCCACACTCCGACCGAACTGCAGCTCGGCAAACACAGAAGCTTTTTGAGCACGCGCACACACACACACACACACTCGAATCACGGGTTCTGTGGCCCAGCACCCGGTCGTTCTCGCCGCCTCGCCAGAGCTCGCCATGCGTCGCGGCAGGTCGCGGCAGGTCGCGAGGATCGTAGAGTTTCGCAAGTCGGCTTCGGCTTAAGATCCAACATTCCAGAAGCTCTTCGTCGAGAAAGGCATCTGCGTCGGGACCAGCTCGGGCCCGCGATCAGAGCCAAATGCGGCTCAGTCATCCAGGATCTCCACCTCTGCATCTGCATCTGCAACCACGACGGGAACCTTTGTTTCACATTGCACGCAACATCGGACTATGTTTCTCAGCCATTGACGGTTTCATGGCGCAACATCGTGCCATTCAGCCAGGTCGCTGGTGAGCGCGAGCGATCTCGCTTCTCTTTCGCAACAGGACGAAGTGGGCCATCCTGCAACAAGGTCAGGCCGAAAACTTCCAAAACTAAATGATCAAGCGAAAGCTGCAGGCATGCAGGCCCGTCGAGGGCCCATGGACCCCATGCCACGCTGTGCCCCTTTGCCGACCCCACCGACCTCTTCCCGGAGCTGCACTTTCGGCATCGCCTCCCCCCCCTCCCCCAACCCCCAGAGGCCTGTCGGGAACCAGTTTTTTTTGGTGAATCTTCAACACCACATAACGTTTGACTGCGCCACCTTGGCCAGCACCTGCGCGTGGGAAAGGCCCTTCCTTAACAGCGCCACGTCTGGGGCAAGGGATCTTGTAAAAAACTCAGATATAAGCGTGCGACCAAGTCTTTCCATCTGTGAAAAGGATCTTCACCTTCATGGCCAATTATTTGCAGAAGTAATGTGCCAGCACTCCAGGCCTTGTCGGGAGTAACTTGCTTCACCATCACCTGAAAGCCATCGAGATTGCGCAGGCTCCCATGAGAACGCTGGCGCTGCCTTCATCTCTCTGCCTCGGTCCAGTAGGCCGCGTGCTGATCTAGGTGCTCTCGTGTCAGCTGCCTTGCACTCTAGACTTTCTGCCAAGATTCCAGAGGATGATCGGTACAGCACCACCGCATCGTCCTTGATCCATACCTATAGCCATTACAAGTTTCGCCGCCTGTGCTTGGGCTCTGCTTTCGAGATTTAAACCATGCAAGCAAGGTACCGGCAAGCCGTACTTGCCCTTCGCCTGTGGCTTCGAGGAAGGTGGCGCTGGGACTTTGGCAGCCTGCACGGCAGCCCCTGAACCCTGACCCCGCAAACCCCTAAAGTGGTCCGAAATCCCAAACCCCCAATCTTCAAGCCAAAACCTATAAACTTCAAACCCGACATCCTGATCCAAGACTATCTGCCGCCGCAAAAAGGAGGACCCCAGACCCTACCCCACTCAAACTCCTTTAAAAACACCTAAAACCCTGAACCTGGAAAACAAAAATCCGGGAAAAAAACCTTAAAACAAAAGAACAAGAAACTAACCCGGAAGAAGGGCACCTCCTTTGCCGCCGAAGCAGCCGAGGCCGCGGCCGCTGAGAGGGCCGAGATTCCACCGCCTCCTTGGATGATGTTGGCATCTTTTCGTTTCTTTAGATCTATCTATCTATCTATCTATCTATCTATCTAGCGATATATATATATATATATCAAATATTAATAAGAATATAAATATTCATGCTATATCTACGTATATCTAAAGCTGATTATAAAACCTTGTAGGCTTTGTTATACAGTGTGTTCTTTGTATGTTCAGAGCTAGAGTTACAGTATGCTTGTCGTCTACTTTGAGCTACAGAAGGAGTATATGTATAGTAGCTCTATAGTGCATTTACCGTATCTTGTAGTAAAATCTATCACAACCCGTCTATCTACCTACCTATCCATCTATTAGCTAGATAGGTAGACAGATACATAGAACAGGAGGGCTTCGGGCTTCGACTCTCGCGACTCACATAAGTTTCGGGAATTAGGGACTAGGGCTCAGAATTTTGGGATGAGGCTAGAAACCTCTAAAAACTTCAAGAGAGCGAGAGATTCGCCAAGAAACTTGGCTTCACAGCAGGCGCGAAGGCTTTGGCACCCTGGCCTGCGACAAATGACTGCCGGGTTGACCAACACTACTAATCTCGCTCTCAGCAGCTCGCACCCGCTGCACACCCCACCTGCAACTGGCTCTGGTGCGTTGCTTTTCTCTCCTGTCGCAGGAACAAACTGCTTGAACAGTCCATTCGCAAATCTCAGCAACCCTGTCAACAGCAGCCGAGTCTGCGACCGTTTGTTCGCCCGAGATGCAATCGGTTCAGGACATCCCCGTCACCGGAACTGGGCTTGCGAGACGAGGCCTCGCAAGCAGGCATTATTGCCCTCCAACATGTATGAGATCTATCGGACACTGTCTAACCTTGGTACAGCGCAAATAAACCGGCGCGCCTGTATGTTCAGCCATGCCATGCCATGTGCCGTACACAGCTCAACTGGCCACGTGCACGTAGGCGTGGAATGGTCCAGTGCGGGTCTTGTGTAGACAGCTGACAACTTGAAGCTACATGTACTTTTGGAAAGAGACCGAAATGTGGGTGAAATTTGGGTGTGAAGACAACTACTGGAGCAAGTAGCCGACCACTTCTGTAACGGATTCATAAATCCAAGTGCCAACATGCAAACAAAAGAATAACCTCTGAAGCCGAAAACTCTTAGACGAAGACTGCATGTCAAGAAAAGAGCACATCCCTCCGCCCGTCGAGCCCATCATATGTGCCTCCCCAAACTCCCAAACCTGTTCGAGACACTTCGAAGCTGCCCCGACTCGCCTCACAAGGGCTCAATTCCAACCACGGCTTTTAGACAGGTGGCTGCAGCCCTTCCCCGACACAGATTCATATCATGTGACATACATACATACATACATACATACATACATACATATATGTGTGTAATGCAATGTAATGTAATGTCATGTCATGTAATGTATTGTGATGTGATGAGATGTAATGTAATGTAGTGTAGTGTAGTGTAGTGTGGTGCAATGTAACGAAATGTAGCGTAATGTAATGTAATGTAAGGTAAGGTAAGGTAGGGTAATGTAATGTAATGTAAGGTAAGGTAAGGTAAGGTAAGGTAATGTAATGTATGTTTGTTTTGCTTGCTTGTTTGTGTTTGTTTTTGTTTGTTTGTTTGCTTGCTTGCTTGTTTGTTTGCTTGCTTGTTTGTTTGATTGTTTGATTGTTTGATTGCTTGCTTGCTTGTTTGTTTGCTTGTTTGTTTGATTGTTTGATTGTTTGATTGTTTGATTGTTTGTTTGTTTGTTTGTTTGTTTGTTTGTGTGCTCTGCGTGTGCGCAAAAGTTTCTTTTGAGCCATACTATGTATATAGCATACACTGTATACTCGTGTACTGTACTGGATGCGTAATCAAGTCTGAGATCCCAAGCTGGATCCGGCCAGAGCCCCGCAGAACGAATAGACTCAAAGAAGTCGAAGCCAGCCAAATCAGCATGAAACTGCCGCCATGCGTATTGAAATAAAGCTGAAACCAGGAAGATGCTGTATGGTAGTCGAATAATCCATGGGTGGAGGCCCTCCCCTGTGCTGTGTACTTCGAGTTTCCTGCAGACATGGGAAGTTCGTTAACTGGTTGGCGCATGTCTCCCTTTGGAGCAAGCCTGTTGCTGATAACGACTTAGGTAATGCCATAAGTATATACAGAGAATCTTCAACACAGAGATGCTACGCAAGGAGCCTCCGGCCCTCCATAGCTCTCGAATGTAAACTGGGAGCAGATGCAGATGTCAAGTTCTTTGGGAGAATAAGTGGCAACAGAACATCAGGTGCCCGAGACGGGCTGTTGCTTGCAGCAGGCGCAGTCTGGAAGCTTGACGCAGCCTTTGGCTTCTTCCTTCGTTTCGGGCTTCCGCCCGGCGAGATCAGAGAATATCCGACCGGCCCCTCCGACAGCAACTGCTGCAGTATCACCAGAGGGCTCCTCTCCACCACGCTTAGCACCGATGCTTCGCAGGGTTCCGGAGCGCCCTCCAAAATGCGTCGCCGTTCCTCCAGGCTTTTCTTCCTCAGTTCCTCCAGGCGCTCGATGCGCTTGAAGGCATCTTGGTAGAGAATCTCGAAACGAGAGGGGCATGCCAAAAGACGCTCCAGGCCAACTTTGTTGGCAATGTTGCTGACCTCTTTGCCGATGCCTCGTTGAGAGCAGTTGCCCATCAAATGACGAAGCTTCGCCTGAAGCTCCTGCGTATTCATTCGAACCGGGCTTTGGCGGAGGGGGGTAGATTCTCCTGCAATTATAATAAGGAGCCCCAAGGAATAACACAACTGATATTCCGACCTTTATATCATGCTTGCTCTATCTCCGGTGACGCGGTAGAAACACAAAGCAGGGTTCAACCCCCAGACCCTAAGTTTGAAGGGCAGCTCCCAGCGAGTTATACTATACTATAGTACTTTATACTGTATATTATAATTATAATGATTGCTCTAATCTCCTCAAGGCAAACCTTCAGCCTCTTGTTCTCTGCATCCAAGAGCTCCACCTTTTTCCGGGTTTTTGTGAGCTCTGCCAAGTCCTGCCCGGCTGGCGGCCCAGACACGGCTGCCTTGGGAGAAAAGCTCTTTGAAAGCACGGAAGCCCCCGATTCGGAATGGGGCGACTCAGGCGACCTTTCCAATGGCTTTGGTCGAATATCCCGTCCCAAGCTCTTGGGTGACGCAGCTGTGGGAGTAGGTGCCTCTGCTATCTCCAGCTTGGCGCTCCCGGTAGGTGATGTCAGTGGCTTGGGGTGCTTAAAGGGGCCGCGACCCGCAGCCGCGGTGCTCGATTCGGCCAGACCCCGGCTCGTGGGAGAGCCCGAAGCGTCCGGAGGCGGAGACATCGACGCGGTGACGGTGGACTTTTTGCCGCTGGCGGAGACCAGCACCGAATCTTGCAAAGCCACGACCGCTTTCTCCGCATCTGCGTGCCTCTCGTAGGTACACAGAATACTCGGTTGTCGTCGGCCCACTTCGCTACTCTCAGAAGCGTCTTCGATCTGCACGGCCACAAGCGACTCTGCATCAAGGCCAGATTCGTTGTGCCATTTCAGAATACAGTCATTTGTACAATCCTCCGGAGCTCCATCGTAGCGCACTTCGAAACCCTGGGGGGCAGGGGCCGAGGCTCCACTAACTCCCCGCTCCAATCCCAACTCGGACAGCATGAAGTTCGCTTCTTCTGGCTCCAGGCCCAGATCTTTCAGCTTGTCCATACCCGCCTAAAGCAGGGGACAGTCGGACGTCGTCGGACCAGCAGTCTAAGAGGACTCGCACTACCTTTTTTTTGAACCCTGGCAAGAAGTCTTTTGCTCCCTTCCAGGGACCTTCAGGCCTCGAGCTGCTCGAGCTGCTTTTGACGCTCCGCCAGCTGCCCTTTCAGGCTAAAGACCTCCCTCCTGCACCTGTCCAGCTCCTGCTGAAGGCTCCGGGCATGATTCCGATCCTCCTCCGCCTGGCGAAGGGCGGCGTTTGCCGCGGCCTGCGGGGGGTCCCCCACAAAAAAACTGATAAGACTGAGGCCCTCATGGCAGCACCATTCTGAACATTTCTGGACGGGGCGGCCTTGGAACGTCGCAGGGCCTCAGGCCAAACACAGGCTGAAAGAACATGAAAACACTGAGACCAAGCGCAAGTCAGCCGCAAGACACTGTGCCCGCCACCGTTTCGAGATCTACATCGTCCTGGTCGGCTCGGCTTCTGTCATATCTCATTATCATCGTCGTGGGTGCAGGGTGGAGAGTCACCATGCTGCATGACACTCCTCCCTTTGCGAAAACCCCGAAAGTATTGACACGTGTCCGTCCTCGTCTTCCAGGAGCTCATCACCGGCCTTCATGTGGGGGTCGAATATCTGGACGGGAGAGCCGAGCCCGGCGTGAGCGAGCCTTGGGAGACGCCTTGTCGATAAGCTTCGAGGGATCCTGGGCTAGGAAGGATCCGCAAACATCTCCAAGGAAGCTTCGGTTTGGGACCACGGCCAACCCCATCGACTGCTTCAGCTCTTCCACAAAGGATGCAGACGCTGAGCCGTCGAGGATCTGAAGAAGCTTGTCCTCTTCATGTTCTTCAGAATGATTCAGAATGAGAGGATCAATGCAGAAACCTTATAGTAACCCTTGCAGCAAACCCTATAGCAACTCCCATAGAAACCCCGTGTAGTAACCCTTACAGTATGATGGCCCTTGTAGGTAACCCTCAAACTAACCCCTACAGCAACCATTCCCGAAGAGCGTGCCTTGACGATCATTAAAACCAGCAGCCGCTGATCCTCGCTCAGGTGCCTCATAGGCTCCTGTCACAACTCCCCTTTAATACCAGGTGCTACAGCATGATACTAAGGCACTAAGGATTAGGGTTTTTCTGCTGAGGGCTTTAGCACTCCCTAGCTTTTCGGAAAGACTTGGCCAAGGGTCGAAGAAGGTGACATGATCGTCTTGCAGAGGCGTTCCTGTGCCTCCCTTCACCTGGGCGACGAGTCTACTACCCAGGAAGAAACACTGGTCACTTGTCAGCTAAGTCGCCCGATCCAACTGCTTCATGGCCTGTCTAAGCATGCGGCCACAGAAGAAAGTCACGCGAGATCTCAAGTCGCCAGGCACTTAGGGCCCGGGCGCCAAGATTACATCGGGCCAACTTCAGCTCAAAATCCTGCTCACACCGTGACGCTTCACACGCTTGCTTCCCTGCTGGCCTCATGAGTGTCCGCATGCCAACACTAAAGCGCTCGGAAAAAGTGCCATGCCACCTACATACATGCATACATACATACATACATACATACATACGTACGTACACACATACAAACATACATACATACAAAGATACGCGCATACATACTGTTGCATACTGTACACTCTTTCGTTCGTTAATTCATTCAGTCATTCATTCATTCATTCATTGATTCGTCCGTCCGTCTATTCATGAATCCAGCTTGCCACACCTATTTGTACAGCGCCCATCCCGCCGATCTCTGACGAAGCCTAAATCCCATCAGGGGAGCTACAAATGCAAATTCGGTCCTGTCGAGCAGCCTTCAGTTCGAGCTGAACCCGTTGCAAGCTGGCGGACAGCACATCTTGTCCTGGTGACATCAGAGTGCAGAAAACCACGTGGGCACATACAGTATCACTTGGTATGCTGTTCCCCATCATGGCTGAGCTCAATGCCTCTAGACGTCAGTGTTGTCAAACAGAGCTGGCAGAATTGTCGCGTGAAGGTCTGCATGTCCTGGTATGCTCGTGGCAAAACACCGGAAAGCAGCAGAGAAGAGTGCTCAGGGGAGCTCCGAAGTAAGTAAACCGACCGCCTTGCTGTGCTGTGATTACGTACCAGGGGCTTCAGCTTCTGGAATCGGTGGCAACCACACAGTCCCAGATCCTGCCCTGCTCTTTCGAAAAGCTTGCATGAAGAAGCAGCGGCGAAAGAGATCCCAAAAAAACAGCACTCGACCCGACACCACTGAAGTCTCCATCTGCCAACGAAACCTGCACTTCGGAATCAGCCTCACTCAAGAGCTGACTCGGCTCTTAGCCAACGAAAGGGCAGGACAACTTCCGTGTGCGACGACGCTGGCGGTGCCTGTGAAGGTATCTTGAACTTGCGTCGGTGATGCGCCAATAGTTGCACCACGTTCCAGTCCTCTTCCATTTTCTTCCTCAGCTTGGTGCACCTACGGACCTACGGCATCCCGCGGCCTACCCTCCGACACTCCCTCCGACACCGAGCAGTCTTGTAATTCCAACACAGGTCACGTCAAGCTGTGCATTGCTGCGTTGAGCCACGAAATCACAAAGGGAAGCAGGGAAAACAGGAGAAGGAAGCGAAGAGAGGGAGGCCAAAGGGAGGGAGGGAGCTGAACGAAAGACACCGCACTACGGGGCAAAGTTCACGCGCGTCTATGCAGTCCCAGGCTGGAAGAGAAGTAGCTGTCAGACCAGAACAGACGAGCTCAAGATGCTACAAGCCAGTATTTAGCCGTTGAGCCAGAGAAGAAACAAACTGTAATCTGCCAAGCCTCAAAATGTCATCCAAACAATGATCGAGAGAGCGGGAGCTTGAAGAGATTGAGGCGCGCCGAGCTGACGGAGCCATTCCTTGGGAAGCTCCGCCAGAAGCTTGCGGCCAATGCCGCATGTCATCGGCCAGCCATTGAGCCTAAAGGCTCTGTGTATCTAGATACCTGGAAGCTCAGCTGCCGGATTCTAAAAAGAAGGCCCTCGAGCGGAGCAGTTTTTACACGGCCGCGCGCATGTGAAATCGCGCTGGTCTTTGCTCCCGTTGGCGGAGTTCCGCCTCTTTAACTCCTAACTTCCTGCCTGAAACACCGAATACCTTTGCAGTGCTGTGCTGAAGTTTGTACTGCTGAGTGGATTTCAGGCTCTCTACTGTGTAAGTTTACACCTGAGGCGTCTCACGCCACTTGTCCTGTAGGAAACATGTTTCCAAGCAGAGGGACACATCTGCAACAGATCTCAGTTGAATCTCTGGGGGATAGTACATGGACATGGGCCAAACCAATCCACATCCGGTCCTTCCGTAGTAGCTGCAGAAAAAATGCCTTGCATTTATCGGCGCCACACCGAGTACCGCGAATGACAATTGATAAACTGTGTGCAAGACCACTTTGTTCATCGGCCACTTGCCGCTGGTATTCTTAAATGAGGCCTGCCAGGTGCATCAATGAATGCTGATGTACCCTTCTTGCTTCTCAATTTCCGACCGGTCTCACCTTTCTGCGCACTTGCAATGATCTGGATGATGGCAGATCCAACCTTGCAAGCTTCTGATCCATGAACTGCTTTCGTGTCAGGTTCTATGCCTCGGGCGCCAACGACAACAAACAGAAAGACTGCCAGCACAACTGGGCCGACGGTGAACGGGGACCTTAGCCGCTGCGTTGTTTCAACTCACCATCCCCAGCAATTCCCCTCTCATTATGATCCTTCGCCACTCATAACACCCCCCTCCTTCCTCCGGCCACGCAGTGCTTGGGGCCGGTGCTCTTCCTTCTTCTTGCCGGAGTTACCTGCAGTCTCACTGCCGTAAGGCGGGTATATTATAAAGCCTGGGTTTCAGGTTTCAGTCAAGAGGCTGGGCCCTCCTTTTCCGATGTTCTTCTCGTACTGGGCCTTGTCCGGGCCATGCCGGTAGCGGCGCTTCGGTCACGAAAAGGGGCGCGCTGAATGACAATGATGGCTCAACGGAAACCGAGGGACAGATTTCAGCGCAGTTTTTCGAGAAGTCGGCATGGCCTGAGCATGAAGCTTTGCATTCCAAAGTGGGTGGACGCAGTGAGGAAATGCAAGCACTAACATGCACCGACTTGCCTCCGGTGCAGCAGCGGTAGGCACGAACGTCAACGTGGAACCCTTGAGCCAAGGAAGCGTTGGCGAAACTGGCTAACGGAAGCTGAAGTATTGAGCCCGAATCCTACCAAGCTCACGGGGAGTCGCTCTATCTCTAGCTTTTTCGCTCGGGTGCCCGGTGGTGGGGCGAAGTGCAACTCACGTGGCTCAAAGGCTTCCGTATCCAAGACGGCTTGCCTTGAGCCGCGTTTCTGTTGCACGAATCTGCAATGCAAATTACTTTGGGATAGTGAGCAGTTTCTGCCGAAAAATCCTCCAAATGAAACATATTCAACTATTGTCAACATCTACCAGCGCACGCAAAATCAAGCAAAGGTTGTTACTATATTATACTCGTTGACTGCGTCATCTGAGTTGAACCTGACAACTATCATCACATTGAAGCACTTCAGAATGTGATGGTAGGCATGTTAGAGCGCGAGCACGCATCCGCCAGCGGCATCAATCCATGCTTCTGAAGCTCAGAGCTTCAACTCTGTCTAGCACGGCGACTACATCTTGGTGGAACTGTTTGACCATCTAGGGACACCAGTTGAGGCTTTGGTGCTGGCGGGCCGATTGAAATCACGACACGGTGGCAGTCATCTTCATACCGAGGATCTCGCCGATCTGCTGAAAAAGTCCCTCCACTGACAACTGTCGTGCTGGCAAGAAGGACTAAGCATCGCAACGCGGTGACGCAGACTGTTCATGCCTTGTTGAGAAAGAATTCCTGGAAGATCAACACGAAGAAGAAAATCATGGCGATCTTAGCCCCCGTAAAAACCACAAGAGGCATACAATGTCATCTGATCCCTATTGCTAGAAAGATCTGATCCAGGGCCCCAGCTCGGCCATTCAGCTGCTCCGCAAAGGGGACGAAGCCGTACATGTAGGCGGATCGTTCAGGCTCCTGACGTGCTGTGAAAAACAGGAGCTTGCACCGGGAATCGGGGATCACGATTGCGGGGGGCAGCCAGCGAAAGCCAGCGAAAGTCGAAGGGACGGAGGTCTAGCCTGCCCAAAACGCCTGAACATGCAGGTCTGGAACTGTCAGTCAGTTAGAGGATACCTTGCCTATTTCGGCGTATGGCACCACCCAGCCCCCACCCTAGGATAAGAATCTATCTCAAGATCTCACCACCCACCCTAAGCCCCAATACTAGGATACTCCACCTCAAAGTCGCAACTTAAGTTATTATCCTAGGAATACTGCTTACATAGGTGCCATACGCCTAACTAGGCAAGAGGCTTCCTATTCGGTTTGAGGGTCTAGGTTCTGGGATAACGCAAGTGGCCAACAACATGGAGCTACGCTTAGAGATGTGGGCTGGAAGGCCTCGGTGCTCGATTTTGCGCTGCTCAGACTGTTTGGTGGGTGAGAATGCACTGCACGACCTCTCCAGCACAATGCTGTTGCTCTGCGGCAAGTTGACTTCAACTATCGCGTCACGACAGTGTGCGTGTGTGTGTGTGTCTCGGTAAGCCTCAACGATTCCATGAGCCTGTTTATCGTGAACTCGTTCCACGAGTTACAATGCTCACCAAAGGCGGCGGCACATTGGATTGGGTCAGGCAAAGGCTCGTCGTCATTCTTGTGCTTCTTCCATGCCATCCTTGCCTTGAGAAACAGCGCTCTCATGAAGGGCAGCGGAGATATCCAAACGACTTTGCCATGCAGCTGTGAGAAATCAATCTCCTCCCCGCTAGCAAGAGTCAAAGCCCATTCGCATCGGCCATCCCTGTCCATGTAGAATAGCTTTGTTCCCTTCAATGAGTCACTGACATAAATTGTGAACTCTGCTGCAGGGCCGGCCTTCTGTCCAGTGGGGATCAAAGCCCAGTCTCCATCTTGGAATGTAGCTTCCAAGTGGCGCAAAAGCAGGAGGGAGTTGCGGCAGCTGTTGATCGGGATATCCAGCTCGTTCTCAATGAACTTGTAGCCGTGCTTTGGAATGATGTGTTCAGCGACGCCTGGGCAAATCGAATCCCAGTACAACCATCGGGGCCGGAAATTTTGGAAATCGTCAGGAAAGAGCTGCTGCAGGATGAGACAACTTCTTGAATTGTAGAATCGTTCGGCTTGGCGCTGCCATTCACCGTCCTCTGTCGCAAAAGTGTAATGCGACACAGGCACAAGGCTATACCGGTCCAAGAAAGCTTCTACCAACACGGCTTGGTTTCGTAGAATCGGCTGAAGTATCTCTTCCAGCTGGTTTCGTAGTTCCATTCGTAGTTCCAGCTGGTTTCTACGTATCTCTTCCAGCCTCTGCAGCAACGAATTGTCGACGTTTTGCGAACTCGCAGCTGATGCATCAGTGATCCGCTTCATGCGGAAGTCACGAGCCTCTTTGGCAGTTTCCACTGCGTTTTCCGCGATTTCCAGAAGCCGCTGATGATCGGCTCGGGTGCTCTGTGGAGCGTTCACGAATGCCTCCGCTGCCGTCCGCAAATCCGTTTGGGCTACATTGAGCTTACTCTCCGCGTCTGCCAAAGCATGTTCCAACTCTTCCATGGCAAAGGTACGAACTACCTTTAAGTACGATGCTGAACACAGGAACCCGGAAAAAGAGCCGTTGCTTTATCATAGACTTTCACCTACACAGACGAACTTTCCGCAGTAACAGCCTGAACCTCTAGGCGACGGAACACAACTGCTTCAATCATCAATCCCTCTTCCATCTCCCTTCCTGCTGAGAGAACTTCCGAAATCATTCTTATAACGACCAAGGTTCTCATGTATTGGAACAGACAACACAACTGAAGAAACAATCAAAATGAAAAGTAAATGCACAACTTTGGTTTATAAGGTTCAGGAGACGAAAGAACCACCAAATAACACAAAGCATGAGGAAAACCGAGGTGAAAACCAAATACCAGGTTTAACAACTCGATTGTGGTACACTCTTGGGGTTTAGGATGAACACCAACCATAACATTATAATATTAATAATGTTATGCTTGTTTAATCCATTACGTCAAACTCAGGTTTATTCAATAGTGTTCAAGCGATTTTGTTGAAATCATACACTGTAGCATTAACATTATATTTCATTGTATATTGTATCCATGTTTTTATTTCTCCTTTGTCTCTACAATACATCATTGCATCAAATAACTTTTTAAACATGTTGTATCTCTTCATAGTTATGTTTGTGATCAAGTGTTTGACTGAATCATAAATCATAAAGTGGAAACAAACGATCCAATCTTAATATAAGCTTATCAACATCATATAAGCATAAATCATTGGTTTCAAATCGTTCTTCTAACTCTTCCTCTTTTTCTATGGTCTGTCCGCATGTCCAACACCGATAAGTAAAGCCATAGATATTATTAATAATATTTTCTGGTAGTGGCAATTCGTATAAGGTGCAATAATGCTGATGTTTCTTACACTTATCTCGCTTTTCCCTACTTTCCCTGATGTAGTCGCGAACCTTGACAACATCCAAGAAGTTATTTCTTATTTCATCCTGTTCTTTCTGATTGAACATTTCCCTGTTAATATGTATAGGTGTCATTTCTTTAGGTGTTTCTCTTAAGAAAATTTTTATCAAAAGAAAAGTTGTACTTTTAACAACTCAAAGCGTAAATACGCTCTATTGTTACCTTCAACATAATAATATTTTTGACCCAATTTTTCGTCAGTTCTTTCTATGGTATAAACATTTTGCGACCAATTTGATACACGTTCTTTTTCATTGGGTTTCCTCTTCCTAAATATTTTAACTTCATCCCCGACACCTAGTTCAGGATAGACCCGATTTCGTTTGGCATTCATGTTTA